AACGGCTCGCTGCTACCCCTAATTACATCGACCAAAATGGTTACAAAGACTTGAGTCCCAGACGACGAGCCTAAGTCACGTCCAAAGTCTTTGTTTTTGTGATTGTGGTGTGACTTGGGTCAGACTCTGAAACTCAGTTCACCATCCCTGGATGTAGCATCATTTTAAGGTTTGTTTGTCGAGGTGTGGGATGTAATTTTGTCGTAAGATTTATTTCTTTGATGCGCAATTACAAATTACTTTAGAATAGTAATTCAAATGAGCTAACTGAATAATTTCAGTGAGCTAAGACAAAAAGACTCCTTCATAACCCTTGCCACTCAAAAATGAAACACCTATGCATTTAATTTTCTGAAAATCTGAATTTGTTTTAGGAAACAGGTGAACTAATTTATGTTTTTTTTTAGCACATAAATTAGTTTACATAGAATATAATGCTCATTTCTCATTTCTCCAGCTCATTGCTGGTCTAAACATTGCTCCGTCACATTAGTACTGCTCCTGACATAAAATCAAACCAACTACAGTTTCTTCTTATAATGAGCAGACTAGGACATTTGGGCCTAAGAGCTCTAGGCTTCCCCAGATGTGATGGGATGAATGTTAAATATGTTATCAATTTCTGGGTAAACCTTAAAACCCTACATTTACAGAGATAATGTTTGGTTTTCCAAATGCATTTTTGGCAAAATGTCCAACAAATGCTGAAAGCTTTCCAATTTGATTATCTCCCAAAGAAGGCGGGTGTCTTTGCACCTGATATCTTAAAAACTGCTGCAAACACAAAAGCAATCTACACAATTAAATAACGCAGTTATAGAATCACACCAAGAAAAAATAAAGCATAGGCAAGCTACTTTTTAATTTTCAGGGTAAATTATTTTAAGATATCGGACAAAAAATTCACTGAATGTTTTGAGGCAGAATCAAGAGCACAATGGGGAGCTGCCTACATATAATGATTTCGAATAGAAAACAAGAAAAACACTTGATTCTTCTTAAATATATTAAGCTGAATTTCAGGCGCAGAAAAACATGTGTGCAAGTTTTTCATGGTACAGAGTGAAGGTGCAGAGTCACCATTAAAAGGTTGGCAGATTTGACAGAGTTGAAATCAGAGATTTTCTGATATTAACTCAGAAAACCTTTTATGAAACTTTGTCAGCTAAACCAGACCAAAACTCTGAACAGTATTTGTTTTTTTTGAAGTCTTCAAAAGAACATAAATACTGTATAAGAGGGCGGTTATAAAAACTGCACAACTCGTGTTTATTATGTCATCACTCTTCAGACCACAGCTGACTGACCTAATTACACAGTGGGAGGGATATGCCTGTATAATAACGGGTGGGTGATGAAAACAAAACAGAGCCTCTCCGTTTGGGGAAAGTCATCTACATTGCTTTGACAGACATGAAGCAAAGAGCTGAAGTCAAACTTCTAACCTAAAATGTTTCACCTATTGACTACATGATGTGTGTTCAGTAATTTTGTGTTGTAACAAAAAATATTTCACTACATAATCAAGTCACACTTTTTTTTTCTATTACCTAAAATGTAATGGGTCAAATAAAGAAATGAAATTATAACAATGGCAACTTTCTGTAGAGTCAGATCAAACTATTAAAATGGTTTGATAAAACACCACAGAATTCACCTGGGTATTTTGGAAATCCAGACATTGTATAATACTGCTGAGTTGAGCAAAAACAGCAGGACAGTACAAAAACAGATTATAGACATAATCCAGTGTTTAACAAACAGTTCTGTCAAACTGCCCTGTCCTGCATGGATCAGAAACATCTGAAACATGTAGGGAGGTTGTAGGAAAATGGTCTTAAAAGTGTATCAAATGCAGGATCATACATCTAAACTCAAATTAGAGAGACCAATTGACCCAACAGTAATGAGTTTGGACTTTGGAGTACGGGAGGAACCCGGAGGATCCGGAGAGAACATGCAAACTTTAAGACGACACCAGGCTGGGATTTGAATCCAAAACCTTCTTGCTGTATCGCAGTGGTTCCCAAAGTGTGGGAACGACTTTTCTTTTTTGGGGGGAATTTTATTGTAATCCATCGGGGGGACTCAGAAGAAAATCTTTGGGAACCACTGCTGTAGGGCAACAGTGCTATTTACTAGTCCACTGTGCTGCTAAATGACATCACAATTTTTTATTTTTTTTATTTTATTAAAAAGATCATAAGAAATGAGCTAGGTGGTGAACAATAATCGTGAGTCAATTTACTTAAGCCTGGCTGAACAGAGTTAAGAACTAGTTCTTGTTATGTATGAATTGGTAAACAACCACCCCGGATAATCTTAAATACTATCTGTAAGCTTTATCAAAAGGGAAGGGATAGACGTCACCTCGGAGTTGATGGTGTTTAAGTACAAATTCAGATAAGCTTATAAAAACGACAAAAAAAAAAAAAAGAAAAAGAAACTGACAGCAGAATATGTCATATTTATACAATTATGACTATTCAGATGTGGAGGATGTTTGAAAACCCCAGACTCCTCGTAGAGTAACCAAAATGGCTGACCAATAAGCCAACAAAAACTTCAGTAAAGCTCCACAGCGTGGTAGGAAATGTCTGGTGGAATACAGCTACTTTTCATACATGTCATTTTATTTTAATGTTTTCATTTTACATTTTTTATTTGTTCTTTTATCTTGAACATCTGAAATGCTCTTTCAAATGATCAATATCAGTAATACAACAAGTTTCTGTTGCACTGACATTGTATTAAGTCTTACATACTTTGAAAAAATGTGTATCCTAAACCCAATGATAAAGTCTGGCTTGACTGAGTAAGTCATAGCTACATCCCAAAACGGACAGAGATAATAACAGGAACAACAAACATATTTGCAGTGACAACATGGTCTACATATTTACAGATGACCAGGCAACAGAAATGAGGTCACCAGGCAAACAAAGTTGGTACCTGAAGGTTGTCAGTCAAATGAAGAGCCGAGTAACTTCAGTTCAGAGTCAAGATTTTATAAAACTAAAATATTACAAGTTCAAAACTGTCCATGTTAAGACAATAGAAATGAAAGCACATATTTATTTTATGATTCTTCACTTCAACCAAATGTATGTGGTGGTATGGTTTGTTTCATTAAAAGAAAAGAAAAAAAAGACTTTTGCATATGAATGCAAAGGGAATTATTGCTTCATTAAAACTACACCCAGAGGAAGGACCTGGAGATAAGAGGATTAGTTTCAAGACGACTGTGAAGGGACGGGGTCAGTGGGTTGGATTTCCTCCTGAAGGGTGATGTTAGATATGTAAACAGCTGATACAGCTCCACATAATGTTTGTTTAAATAAAGACAACCATCAGCTGCTTTACAGACGGGTATGTTCACAGTGACAGACCTCTAAGATGGTCCAAAACTGAAAAACATCATTACATATCATTGGAAGTTCAGCACTTATCATACTGTGCGTGGTTGAGGTTTGTTATAAACTTACCTGATAGGGGGGCGGTGGCTCCTGATCCAGGTCAGCACCGTCTCCATAACTGGCTCGGTCCGACTGGGATTCATGTAGCAAAGATATATCATCCGAGGTCGGAGATTTCAAACAGTTTCCCATCTCCTTCCTCTTCTGTAAAACTGGACCCCTCCACCCCCCTGTCTGTGTCGGTGTATTTCACGGCTCACTTTAACCGAGAAGGTCAACAGAAGCGTCAACGGGGCGTTTTTCCCATTCACAGCTGAGAATGATCCTCTCCCAGACGATGGGAGGGCTGCCTGTTCAACAACAAAACATCCTCCAGCTAGCAGCTAGCCGCACAAAAAGCTAGCCAGCTAACACCAGCTTCGACTCTGAGCGAGAATGTTTACACGCAAGATACAGAAAATAAAAAAGCTCTGACAGTATTTTGTATCTACTAAGCCAACCAAGAGAAGAAAATATCCAAGTTCCTTGTTATAGGTGACAGAGGAAGGTGCATTTTCCCTGTCCGAGAGCTGTCCGCTTGAGAGGGACTTTCCAATTTGAGAGCTCTGCTGAATAACGACAAAGGTGGTGATGTAGCAACGCCGAACACCACCCCTTTAAAAAAACTAACCAATAGGCAACGACTTACGTCCACGATGATCTTGGCAACAACCAATCAGATTTGTGGTCACATTGGCTTACGTCGAAAACATAAACAGAGACCTTTAATCTGTAAATGAGTCGTTTTTCTGGAATACGCCGTTTAATATTATGAATTGGAAGAAATGACTCACTTTAAACCCTGTATTGTAAATAAATGAGGGGACTTAATTCTAAATTTTGTGCAGTATTTATATTTGTGACAAAAACCTCAACGGTTTACGGATGAATATTATACCTTTTGTCGAACTGAGACACAGATCGTAATATGTTTTTTTTATTTCCCTCTTATCTGCGTGTAAGGGGGTCATGGCGAAATTTACTAATTGACAACTTTCTGTTTTCCTGGGGTATTAGTATGATTAAACACAGAAACCATTGGCTGCAAAGCTGGCTGAGTGACCAATTTTGGCAGGATTCATAGTGAAAAAACAGTGATAAAGAGCTATTTCCCAAGATCACTATTAGAAGACTGCATCTAGGACAAAGACTGGTATTTTGGGGTCACCGAGCCTTCCTATATATTAGACAACCTGTTACTGGGGAGTCATAGCAAAAAAAAAGAAAAAAAAGAAAAAACCTTTTCTACCATCACACATATAAAAACGAGGAGAGCAGACATGTTGTTAAAACCTTATCTCCCAATACTGCATTAACAAGCTTCAGTAAAAGGTTGGATTTTGCCCAAATTCAAAGTTGAGATTATGCTACTTGAGTAAGAATATAAATTAAGCAAGAGTATCAACATATTTGTCCACTTCTTAGACAATTAAGAAGCAGACAACAAAGATGCAAGCTGTGCCTCTTTGTTCTATAATCAATACCTCCTTGTACTGTGTTCTTTCAAATATGGTCTTAGATGGAAAAAAAGAAGACAGTTTAGAATAGAGTGTTCAGTAAGACATTATAATTCCATCATAAATTACAACAAAAACATTTACATGAGTCATTCTGCTCAGTGGGTAACCATGCCCAATACAATATACAGAGTGTAAACACCTGCAACTTTTAGTTTATAATTTTATCCATCTACAGCATATGTAAAATCAGAGGGAAAATGAAAATATACTTTTTACTAATTGTGTAAAGTTTAATATTTTATGGAGATATTCCATAAACCGGCTGGATTTACATTTATATGATTACAATTCCTCCACCATTAAAATACGTTTTGCAGCTGACTGAAAGTAATCAAATTATATCCCTATGTTCTCTTGTATGGAAATGAATCATAATATTTCCAACTCTTCAGAGCCCATTGGAGTTCATAAAAGGCTGTAAGACATGCACAGCCTTTTGCAATAACCCATCCACCAATCAATTACGAGGAGAAACCATATTTGTTGTACACATACACTCTTCAGCAGGATGTGGTTGTAACTTTGGCTCCTTCTGTAGGTGTTTCTAGGAAGGAGTTGGCTCAAAGGGGAGCAGCATAGGGGTGTCAACAGATAATTCTCACAATCTGTATAAGCTGTAGTGGTTTGTGGTGAATAAGAGTTTCCTTCAACATGTAAAAGGATGCAGCAGGCGGACAAGCAAACAGCCCTGATCACTTTCAAAGGCCGGTTTGTTCAAGCTCAAGTAGCCCTGGAACCAGTCCCACACACCAGGAGGCAACAAAGAGGGAGTCTGCCTTTCTAAAAGACACGTTTATCTGTCCTCTTAAAACAGGACAATCTGTGTAAAAAGGTGCAGCTTACAGTAGGTAAATCTAAAGGACATCTGCAAGTCTTGCTGGCTTTTTGACTTTGGTGAGTTATTTAGTCTACGCAAAGAGAAAATAGAGGCTTTCAGAACCGATAGTTTCAGTTTCATATCTGGAATAAAAAAAGACTGAATGAGTCAACTAACATAAATTGTTCCTAACCACTAGTTGACAAACTGAAAAGCCCCCCCTGAAATTTCCAATAAAAGGCTCTTTCATTGTGGAAAATGTAGTGAAACAATAATTATACATACACAAACCTACTAATAAAGGATTTTAAAAATTTGGTCAAGTTGGCTCTGAATTTTCATACATAGCAAAATATATGTACATGAATAGATTTTGGGAATCTTATAACAAATGGTTACGTCTTCCCTTAACTCAAATAAAAACTTTTGCAATGTTCATTTGTACACCATATGATAGTGGAGGGAAAGCTTGTATATCGCACAAATTTGACTTTGTTTACCACTCTTATGTTTTTTAGTGAGAAGCCATGATGGAAAACTACAGCATTTTACAAACACATGACCCACTTCCAAACTCGTTTCTATATCAAGTCAGATCAGCAAGTGAAGCTCCATGTAATATTTCTTTGAAAAGAGAATGTAAAAATCAGAAGAAGAAGTCCGTTAAGGCCAATCAAAGCTGCAGATGTCCATGCTAGTTTGACACATTACACCAAAAATCAACAACAAGAAAATAAACAATTGCCTCCAGATTTGATGAACAAATAAAATAAACGCTTCAGCCCCAACGGGCTGCAGCTGGTCGGGCTGGATGTTGCACTGTGGGGTTGCAGAAGCATAAAATGATCACTGCGCTGGTGTGCCCTCCTCCTCTGCCCGTTATGGACTAGAAGGAACATGGACGCCGTTCTCCCCAGTTCCCTTAGCTTTGTGCAAAGCAGCCTGGATACGGAAGTGCGTTCGTGACTCCATGGAGTAGTTTTTGTAATTGTGCCTAAAACAGAGCAGCAGAAAAATAAAGCCAACTTAAAATATGTCAAGTGATATTATTGTGTAAATAATAGGCATGTAATGGAAAAAATATATTTTCTGTTTAATAGTTAAGTTATCTCTTTATCAATTAAGCCCAAAATTGATACCAAACATTTTATTAGTAATGAGAAGGATTTCTCTCAAAAGCCAGTATGTATATATGTTTAAAAATGTTATTGAACTGTTTTTATTTACATTTAAAAATGTTATTGAACTGTTTTTATTTACATTTAATTGAGAAATGCCTTTCAGAGTAATTAATGAAAAAAAAACCTACACCAGATTACAGTAATTAAACCATTGTTGTAATTGTTTATCAGATTTTCATTGGTATTTTGGAGATTCACCTTCCAATCTCAAAGTCTCTGAGATTGGAAGGCCTCCTTGTCATCACCCTAATTTTCAGCTTTCTGCACATGGTCTATTCATTTCAATTTGGAACTCTTGCTGGGCCGCTTCAAAGTGTCAATGTTACTTTCAGTCAGAAGAAACATGGTGCTAAAATTAAAACGTCACTTTGAAACTAAATATGCCACTGGAATGAGTCATTTTGGGTTCTGCTGTAAATATTTAATGACTTCAAAGACTTACTTTGCCGTTTCTAGAAGTTTAATAGCTTCATCTCTTCTCCCCTGCTCCAGGCACAGCAGACCGTGCTCAAGGAGAGCATTAGGAACCAGGTAGTGGTCATATTTGATCTGAGTCTCACTGCAGACAACAACAAAACACAACAATGGCAGTTTTTAGTGTTGTGTTGCGTGTTTCTGTGCTTATTGTCATCTAGAAAGATCCTGTTGGTTAGTTACACAAAAAACAGGCTTCTCCTCAATTTCTGCTGGCTGCAAAATATTTCATCTGTGTACGAGGCTTACTTGCAGAGGACGAGGGTAAAGTAGTGTTCAGCCTCTTCTCGGTGTCCCAGGTGCTTGAGACAAAGGCCCTTCAACAGGCTCAACAGACACTGATCATCTATGGTGTATTCAGTCCCTGACAAAGACCAAGCACCAAAAACGCAACATGAGTCATTGTGTCATTGTTTAACGATCCATACAGTGCCTTATGAAAGTATTTACTGTCTTAAACTTTTTCACACTTTGTCATCTTACAAGCAAATTTGCTTTTATTGGGATTTTAAGTGAAAGATGAAATCAAAATATCAAATTGGTGAATAAGTGTGATATGGAAAGAAAATAATCAGTGGTTTTCAAGACATTGCACAAGCAAAAATCTGAAAATTTACATCTGAATGGGCAAATAGTTCTCATCCAAATAGGCAAACCTGGGAGAGATGAAGCCAAAAAGTCTTGCAGGATAAATTATAATGCATTAATTCACAGGAGCTTATTATAAAGGTATGCTGAACTCTTCCGATTTTAATTTATAAACAATCAAGTATCACTTTCCTTCCACTTTGAAATCATTCACTATTTTATGCTCCTCTATAGAAATACCATTGAAGTGAATTTAAAGTTGGAACATAAATTATGCAAAGGTTAAACTTTAGAAGGTAATGCATCAAATATACTGGATAAATTGTAGCTACTGTTTCAATAAAAAGTTTTAATAATTATCTTAATTTAAATCTGATATTACTTTATGCCATTCTAGAGTTTTGCATACTTGGAAAGCTTTCGAGTGTTGCCTGGGCTTCATCCAGGGTTTTCAGCATGGCCTCAGTCAGGTCTTTGTGTTTTCCAATGACTGTGTAGCCGTTCCAGATGTACATCATCTCCTGGACATCAGGAAAAAAAGTAAAATGGTTTACAGGTAGCAATTATCATTTGCTATTGTCAGAGCAAAGTATGTTGTCAGCAGCTCACCAAAACTCACTGTGACGACAACTACTTTAGAAACTTAATGCAACAATGCTTACTGCAGATATCTGAATTTGTCCCTGGTTTATTCCAATATTTACCACTGCCATGCGTAGTGATATTTGTATACATCTTGAGTTAACATCCATAATGCCACTGAGGAAAAGCTGACTGATCAGAGGACTGGACCTCTACTTATATAACTGGGTTTAATAGGTCTAACATTACAGAGCACCTTTGTTCTCTAAGAGGCAAGATTTGAGTCTCATTAAAGAATAAAAGACAGCTTGTGATGCAGCTTTGATTCATTCAGTTGATGACTTTCTTGGACAAGAGCAATGTTGTGTGAAATTTTATTGATCGAAAAATATCGAGCAGGATGTCTTTGACAAACATTTAAGTTTTATCAACACTGAAACTCTGTATGTTGAAACGTTTGACACACCACAGGGACTTTTAGAGCAGCACACTGATTTTCCAGTACTGACCAGGGGAGGAGCTGGGAGAGGAACGGGATTTTCCCCAAAGTAGCGGCGGGCTTTTCTGATCGCAAACTTCTCTGTTGGCAAAGATTTTCCTGCAATTTTCTGTTTCAGCCCAGGAACCTGCCTGAAATATGATGCAAAAAGAACATAAATAACAGCAACATGGAGACCATGAGAGAAAACTGTAGGTCACAACATTTATCCTTGAATCATTTTATTTTATTTTTTACAAGCAATCTGACTTTTGTTGTTTTTTTTTCTTTTCCATCCTTCAAACACATACAATTCAAAGAAGAAAGAAGAAAACTTGTCTACCTCAAGGAAAATGTGGGGCAATTGCAGAAAATGTGTTGTCATTTGTTATCAGCTTCATTTGTCCCCAGAAGACCAATGATTTTAGTTCAAGTAGGGAAAAATAATACGCAACAGACATAATTTAAAGACGGACAAACTGAAGTGCAAATAAATAATATATTCCTAGAGCTTTGACTATGTTTTACATGTGTTGCATCCATTTTGGATGTTGAACTCTTGACAGAGGCAGGACTTTCCAGGACTTCGCTGGTTGCTCTGTTCCATTGTTCCTACTCCAAACCTTGTACATTTAGAGTACTGACGACAATTAAAAGGTGATATATCTATCTCCAAAGACCCAGGGACGCTAATAATGACAAAACAAACCACATCCCTGGCAAACTAATCAAACCTAAGGACTTGTGTTTCAGCTTTAGTTTTCTATGTTTAGGTGATTAATTTATGATCCACTTTTTCAGCTTTACACAAACAAAAAAAAAAAAAACTTTACTATGGTTCTATGCATCTCTAAACTATCAAGATAAACGATCTGTTTCACTTTGCTGTGAGTAATGTGAGCATTATCTGGGTTCATACCTGAAAAGAGTTAGCGCACTCTCCCCGAAGGTAAGGCAGTCATCCTCAGTCAGCATGCCGAGATAGGCTGCTTTCATATAAGCATACGTGGCCTGAGGGAAAATAAAACATGCTTACCACAGCAATCTCATCGTACCTTTAGAAATGAGGAAAAATAAACCCACAAAGATCTGAGATGTCTCAGCAGAATGTATTTTTTCATATTTCTCTCCTGAGCTAAGAATAGATTCACAACATCTTGACTAAATCTGTAGTGGAAATATTTATAAATGCACATCAACATGAAAATAATTCACTCATAATTCCAGAAGTGGATAAAAAAAAAGTATTTTTCTTCCAAACAAATACATCTGAGAGTACATAGTCAGACCTTGGACCACGAGTTCTCCTTGCTAAGCAGGTCAGCGTAGAAGTAGGCCATCTTCCAGTGCGTCTTGTATGTGAAGCACCACATCAGCTCCCAGTAGCACATGTGGTGAAACTGTTTCCACTGCTGCTGAGCCTCACAGCACTCCTCAAAGAGCTTGATAGCCTGCACACAACACTGGCTGTAATTCACTGAACCTGTGCATCATTGAGTACTGCAAAAATAAATTATTTCTAGCATAACGCTGTTTCAAGCTAATTAGTACCAGTTTTATTTATTGTATGAATTAATTTTTAAAAGTTACATATTTTTAATGCATTTTTCCTACATGGTAAAATTAGTTAATTTAGTTTTTGTGTTTAAAGTTAGTTTTCTGTTGTTTTTATGCAATTGAGCATTGCATGAAAAGTACAGAAACAGAATGGTTGTATTGTTGAAGCACCATATATCTCCTGAGTACTAAGCAGGTAATTTAGTGACATTAAGACCTTTGCTTTAAGGTCCAATGAAGATACTGACCTCATCCAGGTTGCCTTTAATCTCCTCTATTCGACCAGCAAAGAACAAAAAGATGGATCCCTGCAGAAAAGCAAAATATAATATGCTATGGAACAACACAAGTCAAAAAGAAAAGAATCAAAAGTAGTGTTGCAAACCTTGGGGTATTTTTTCAGGTATGGTTGCAAAAGTTTCTCTGCATCTTCAACGTCTCCTTCCCCAGTTCCTGTGGAAAAACATTCAAAACTAATTAAGTTTGGTTTGTTTGTAGGTGTTTTTGCAGCTTGGTGTTTGTGTGTATCTTGGCTTTACCCAATATGAAGCTCATGAATGTGTGATAACACAGCAAGAGCATATTACAGAGAAACGACCTGAAGGTGCTTTCTGCAGAGCCTTCTTGAAGCTGTTGAAGACCAAACTCCTGCAGAGAAACAGAAACAGATCAAACAAAACATGAGTTAAGTATCTGCTAATGGAAGATCAGCTGAAATACAAGCAGTAAAATCAGAGCACGATCAACACACTGATTCAGTTGATAATCCCGCTGATGCATCGCTGCCCTCTGCTGGAGAAGTCAAGTCACAAATCAAACTCTGAACATCATCCGGTTTGCTTTTTATATTGGTTACATATTAGAAGCTCTGATTCAAATCATAAAAGAATGAGTCATAAAAAGAGAAACTTATAAAATGATCAAATTGCACTTGCATTACTCATCATGATCAGATTCAAAGTAAATTTTGCAGCTGAGGACTTTCATTTCACGCTTTCACTGAATGTGTCAGGTCCAACACCGTCATATCAGTAGTTATTTAGTGTTTCACCAGAAATCATAATTCACCACTGAATTATTATTGCTACATTAGATTAATTATTTCCATCTTATTACATTACAACCAGAAGTATGTTAAAGAGAGCAGAAGGGTCCTCTGTGATTTTAAAAACTTAAAAACAAGTTTTCTCTTGTGTCAGACAGGATATTAAAGCTACAGGTGAACAAAGTATCACCAAAACGATGTTCGATCAACTGAACCACACATTCATCACATACAGAACAGGCTCATGAAATGATCTGCTGGTTTCTTGTCACAAACTCCAGGAAAAGAGCTCTGCTGTAATAAACTTTTATTGACTTTAAATTATTAAACAATTTAATCCCTTACATTTACCAATTTTATGGTACAAGAATTTTAGGTTCTAATGAGTTTAAAAGCAAATATAAGAAATATCTTTTTGGTTTAACATTTGGTTGAATTTCAACAATAAGGATTTTTTATCATTTAAAGCTAATAATATCTGTAGATTTATTGCACTTTAAGCTATATTTTGATTGTATTTGAAGTATTTATTTTGTTTTAATGCTGTAAATGCAAATGTTGGATTACTTTGAATTATTTTTATTCTTCTTTTTATGAATTATGACCTTCCTGTTGCCCATCATTGGTACTTTACAAAACGAAGCTCCTCAGGATTTTTTATGCTCTCTGGTGTTTGCTGATCGGCATCCGCAAAAATGATGTTTCCTCACATTTCTGTACACTTTAAATTTAGTCTTGGTTGTCTAATTCAGTTAGCTTGTTTCTATATAATTTGGAGACCTTTGTATTGTCCTTGTTGACTGTAAAAATGTACTCATCAATAGGAACCAAGTCACTGGTTAAGTTCAACTCACCTTATTACCGGAGAATCCTACAAACTCCAGCAGCTTGAGCGTACGTGTGGGCAGCATGGAAATCATCTACAGGAGGCAGAGAAGTACATGAAACGCTCAGATTATCACAAGACATTGGTCTGTTATTAATGTAAGAATGAGTCACAACTAATCCTGAATTTACAAACTAGGGCTTGAATGTGGTCACGGTCAGACCATAATAATTCTTTATGGGTTTTTTGCTTTGCTTCGTGCTTCTAAGAATCTGAAAATGTCAAATCTGCGTTTTAAACATTGGATCAGATCTCTAAAACGCTGCATTCACTTTTACACACTGTTAGTTGTATTTTCCCCACACATACTAGATTGAAGGCTCCGACTCCCAGTTTCACACCGCCCTCAAAATGGCCGTGATTGTCGCCGTGGGTGTATCCAGTCGACTTTAGGATGGTGTGGAGCTCTCTGAGAGGACAAGATAAATCAGGAAAACAGAACTGATGCTCATTATCGGATGTTGCCAAAAAGTGTGAAATAACAAATTTAAAAACAAAACGTTCATAGTATGGATATGGTTGAGAGTCTCACTTGTATGTCTGGTAGCTGTTCCTCACTTTGATACCTCCTTTGATGAAACTAATCATGTTTTCATCCTGGACAGGAGTGGAGCAAGAAGCTTATATACAGACAAATTCAGCTGCAGTGTTTGTGTTTGATGGTTGACCACTGACCTGGAGGAAGGTGAGTGCTGCCCTCTGCAGGAGACATTCAGCATAGCAGACCTCAGCATGCAGTTCCTCTGAGGTGAACATGATTACATCACAAATTACCTTCATCAATACTGCTGACAGTTTGGGTAGCAGCAGAATACACACACACACACACACACACACACACACACACACACACACCTGAACCCTAAGGTCACACACACGATTCAAACTAACGGACTTTTCTCAGTTTAGACTGACACAAACATTCAAGAGACAAAAACATGCAAAACGCTGACATCTGACAAACCGAGATGACATTTTTAACTCTCTGACCTTCTGTGAAGCTTTTTGAGAAGCTCGACTTCCTTCTGTATCTAAAAGGGAAAGCAGACAAAACGTAGTTTTAAAATATTGACTAATCACTCTGGAATCACAAAATAACACAAACGTGCTCATACTCCTTTTTCACATTTTGTTGCATAAGAACTGCAAGTCAGTGTGTATATTGGGATTTTATGTGACAGGGGTAGATAAGTTGACCCAGACTCTCTTTATTTGGGAGATAAGTTGATACATGAGAAACCAATCTCAACCAATCCATCAGTCTTATCAAAAATCAGCCATTGCCCCCTTTTTCTCTGCTCACAGAGAGGACCGACCCACCCACCAGGTCATGTCTGCATGAGTAAAATTAACATTAGTTACCCGACTGCTGCCAACTCAGTGACTTTGTTGCTACATTTAAAGACAAACAATCAGTTTGGGACAAAATAGAAATCAGCAAGTCAGGCTTTTTAAAAATCATATTAGCCCAGAAAACTGCAATCAGTAGATACAAATACATGCCACACTTTACAGATTATTTTAAATATTTGCAAATAAATGTAAAAATAATTAAAAATCTGCATATAAGTTTTCTTCCAATGCTCAGCAGTCATGCAATCCAAATAAAGACATTAAGGTTCACAGCGGTAATGTGACAAAATGTGGAAATGCTCAGTGATGCAACACTGCCCATCTTTCAGTTCTCATGTATCAAGTGCTTTAGTAATGCTGAAAATCTTCAAAGAGAAATGTGTAGATCTGATCTCGTGTTGGTGTGAAAGTCATGCTGGATTTTCACAGTTTAAGACCAACTTGGACAGATCTCTGTAACGTCCATCCATCCATTTTCTGAGCACCCTTCTCCCTAACGGGGTGGGGAGGTGCTGGTGCCTATCTCCAGCTCTCTGTAACGTTTTTCTGTTAATTGGTCATGATGATTGATCTTAGTTTTGTTCTTTGGCTTTGCTTGACGTTAACCACAAAATTCAGCGTTCATAAGAAGCATCTGCATCAGCAGCTTAACACCAGTCATCCGACAAAGACTTCAGGCAAGCTGCTCTGCTGCAGAGAATATTCACCTCATTTACTGACTAATGTAGAGAGGAACTACATTCTGCTTTTTCATTTATTTATTTATTGCAAGTCAAACAGCTGTATTTCACTCTCGAGCTGTGGGAACGTCTTACCGCTGACAGAGAGTCTGCGCCTCCTTCATAGTACTGCCCGCACTCAGAATGTGTTGGGGGTCAAAGGTCATCATGGCCTTCATTTCTAAAATAGTGGCGTAGGTCAAAGCGTGGTACATGCTGTCTTTCGATCTGTGAAATGAAAGCAAGGCAGATAAAGAACTTTATATCAGATACATTTGATAGTAAAAGAAATAAAAGCATTATTTTAAGTGTGACTGAATCTGAGTCACTTCTTGCTCAACAAAGATTTAGTGAAAACATCAGTGACATTTTATCTGTGGATCTTCTTGTTGGACTGGTTCAGAATCTGGTTGCTCCAGGTTTAAATCATCATTAGAAATAATTGCCACATAAATGCATATTAAATGAATTACGGTCTCCTGCAGAGCTGTTCCTAGCTGGTGGTCCCAACGGCAGCTGAATGTGTAGCATACAGTCTGAATGCACGTAAAAAGTCGTGGTTTTGTTTTGCTTGTTTTGCTGACAAAAGTGTTCAGCCAGGAATGCAGTCGGGTTGCTCTGGCAACACTTCACCGCACCATAGAGTCATGTGACCTACCCATGTGATCAATCAGCTCCAACCGGTCGTACACTGAAGTTTGCATTAACCGATTTTCACAGATCAAAATTAGCACAAAGCAGAACTTGCATCATCAGAGACAGTCATAATAAACCAGAGCTATGTTTGTAAAGGTTGTAAAGCTACAACCTTGTCCTCTTTCACATACTTTTAGATGTCTGTTGCCTGAAATATAAATCACGCCCAATGGTAATAGTAAAATAGCAAAGATAAATATCTGAAATGCTTTTAAATCGTCCCAACCATTTCAGACCTGTCTGACAACCAGAAAGTAAAAACAGCAGGCGACCAGACAATGCTGGGCCACAGGCTCAACTACTGGTATTTGCTTTACATTTACATTTTCCCAGGGTAACATAAGCATGCTGGCAACCTCGACTCAGAAACCTTTAGGTTTTAGACGTTAACTTAGCTGTCTGACAGAGCTGGTTTTTAAAACAGGGACTTGATTATTTTTAACACAATGTTCCATGATGCAAGGGAAAAGCTGTAATGTAATCTCCTTCAAACACTCCAGGCACGCCTTGGACTCAGCTCTGCACACATCAACTCTATTCAGGAAGTGTAGCAACAGAAAGAGCATCACGACACGCAAGACAGTTCATTCTTTACAAAATGGATGAAATTAGATTGTAGAAATATACAGAATCAGAAAGACCTCATAAATACAGATAATCCTGCTCTTGGATCACACTGATTATTTAGCCAAAATAATCAGAACTCGGACACATCTCTATGTGGTAAATTGACTTTACATGATAGTAAAATCGACCAAATACTTGGATCGGAAGCTCATCCTCCTCTGAATTAATTTTGATGGCTGTTTGTTTAAATTGACCTAACGTATATTAACAATCAAACTGTTACAGTTTCACAGTCCAATTTATTTACAAGAAACCACTGAAAAACATTTTTGCATCCATTTCCATTAGGGAAGTTCTGCTCTCATCCCAAATGTTGGATCAGGGTCCAAATTAAGGCATTTTTAATCATCTTGTCCTGTTCATCTACTGTGTGTGATTTTTATGTATCCCCTGTAAGGAATGTTGCCTGATTCTGCACAGACAATATTCAAAAATCTAAATCAAATTATGTGTGCACAGCTTGGAAAATTGTATTGCAGGTTGCACACAGTACTTTGTTTACAGAGTGGATTGCTCCTCACAATATAGATGTTTTCACCCTTTATAGAAATGTTTGCAGTGCGGCAGCTCTATGTCACATGACCTGCCCTGCACTCTGTGACAGCTGCCTGTTTGAGGAAGAGAAAGCAGCTGAAATATTAAATTTTATGACATACAAATCTTTTCCTGCAGGTTTTATCTGAACATGACTGAAATATGGGTCAAATGAATTATATCAAATGAATAGTATAAACTAAATTAGCCAAGCTCTTGATCATGCTCCTCTACAAGAAAACATCAGCATACCAAAAGCAAGATGTGCGCTTATTGAAGACTGTTGTTGTAAGTGTTGATTCCGACACATATCTAGAGGGGAATTATATATTTAAGTGTGTTTCAGGCTATTGTAAGTTGCATGTTTTAGCATTAGTTGGGACTTTACTTCCTAATTACTGTAAGGACAAAACAGACACTGCAACATCTGGACCAACGTGATGCTGCAGAACCACAACACAAATTGTAATTGTGTTCAAAGAAACACAACCACAATTTTTTATATGTAGATCATTTAAACACTGATTAAATATTGGCTATTTTATAGCCTTTTAAAGTTACTCAGTCAACATGCATATGTAGGCCTTTGATTTTATTGACTTTATGCTGCATTGGATTGTAAATTTGCATTGACCACATCTAATCCCAAATGACTTTGATGGAACAAAAAACAAACAAAAAACCAATCAAGACATCCCTAATCAAACCTAAAACTATTCATCCCCATCTGCAGAATGGCTTCACAAACAACCTAAGCGAAGTGTTTTAAATACTCAAAACATTTTGCCCTCAAAAACGAGATTGCCCTCGGAAAATAATGGTGACATAAAAAAAAAAACCCAAATAAGATCAATTCTACTAAAAATCACCAGAACTTTTTTGATATAAAACTCAAAATTACTGCAATCTGAAAACTGCTCATGAAAAGCATCTTTAGTAGCTAAGAGAGCAGCCACAGCCTGCTGCAGATGTCATTTTTAGTTGGGATAATTAGATGGGATTATTAGCCAGACTTCAGCTCATGGCAGAGTTCCTGAGCAAATCTGTTCATTAATATTCACATTTCTGTGTGATGAAACCAACTTTTAAAGTCCCACCAGAGATTCTGGATGGAGTTGTAGGCAGGTGACTCTGACAGCCACTCGGTGGGTCTGCATGGACTTTGTACTCTGAGTCATTGTTTGGATCTTCAGCTTCCTCCCCACCACTGTGGCATTTTCTTGACAATTTGATTGAATTCATTTTTCCCTTTAAACGCTGCATGTTTCCAGAGTCAGAGGAGACAAAGCAGCTCCACAGCACCACCAAGATCCTGCCATGTTTCACAGCAGACGGGGCGTCATTTTCACCAAATGCTTTAGTCTTCCACATTCTGATCCACAGGCATAAAAAAATTACAGTTCTGGTCCAATCACATCAATGATTTGGTTTATTTATACAGCTGTGAGCAAATCGGAGATGATCTTTCTAGTGCTTCCGGGCCAGCAGTGGTACATGCACTGCAGTTCAGGCAAGAACTGCTTCATTATTAGCATGCACCTCACTGGAGAAACTGAAACCTCAAGTGTCTGCTGTCGCCAAGTCTTGTTACACCTCTGTTTCTTCCAACTATATGTTTAAACATATCCAATGTTTTTTTCTCTAAACTCTGTGAACTACTTCTTAAAAGCCACCACTCAGTCCAAGTTCTGGAGTTGATCTGTCTCACCTGATGAAACTAAGGAAGTCTTCAATCAGTGGTCGTGCACATCCGAGACCAGATATGCTTTTGCAAAGAATTAAGGGGTGCCAATAATTTTGGCACTGCAGTAAAAAAAAAAAAAAAAAGTAAAAATATTTTTATCTTAATTTGCATGAAATCTTCATAATATTAGTTTTATTAAACCATTTTAAAAAGTTCAAATTTGCCAATAAACACAATATTTTTACTACAACTTTTTAATAAAACTAACTGCTAAATTTCAACCAGACCTGTAGCATCATTGTAAACCCATCCAGATATTTGGTGTTTTGTACGTCCTGTCGTGTTGTAATTCAGTTTTAAGTCAGGCTATAAGCCTCCTCTCCGTCAGCTGACTATCCCTTGTTGGGCTGCTCTCTATTTGCTCACTGAATTAGCTTCGGTAAAACTGAATTAACCCCTCACTCTTCTCTTCAATGCAGTCCTCCACCAGTCAGATTAAAGGACTAATGACTCATTCCTCCCATTACATGGATGCAGCATCACTGTAACTTCACTTCCTCTCTTTGACAAATGAGTAACTTAAAAAGAAACATAATAAATCGACCTACAGTACACAAAATGACCTGCTTTCACGTAAGCCAATAAAGCAGTTAGCAAACTTCAGTAAAAAAATAAAGAAAATCTCATCAATGTAGATGGAATTTTATAAGTTTGAGTTAGAAGCAGAGTTATTAATATCAGTGCACAAAGCAGATAAAGTCAAAGGTGGAACAATTGCAGAGCAAAAATGAGAAACATCAGCTCCCGACAATCTGGACTAAACGAAGAAGTGATATGGTTGAGCACACAGTTAATGAGGAGTGAACAAAATGAACCTTTCACCATAACAGCCAGTTCTTAAAGTTGTCTCCAACTTGTTGACAGGATTGACTTATTATTATTGAAACATGGGAACAATCAAGGGGTAGACATTTGTATGAATCATTTTAGATCTGTTACAAGCCAAACTGCAGTTTAACAATAAAATATGCCTCATCTTCCAAAAGCTTTTCTGTTTTCCTCAGTTTACTAGTCCGCTTCTGGTTCAATCTGTGATATTGTAGCTTTTATAAGTTAGCTTTTAATACACTCAGGACCAGCATAGACCAGAATTATAGTTATATTTAAGTTTGTCAGATTAAAAGTTCCTTTTTAAAATAAAAACCTCAAAGCAGGTGTTAAACGTAGTTTAAATAAACCTGTATTAAAATGTTATTTTTGTTGGTCTGATGTAATACTATAATTTTAAATGTCATGTTTTAATAAGCTGTAAACTGAAAATCATCATAACTATTTCATAATTATTTCACATGTTTCACTTGGTAATCCGAGTTACTGAAATACATGAGCTTTTCAAAAAATTTCAGATTTATTGATTACAACTGTATATATTAAAGACAGTGCACTGCAGCTTCTTGTCACCATAGCTGTGACAAACACTGGTTCAAACTCGGTGTGTTCGATGCGTTAGCTTCAGTGTGACTGAGTGTGTGCACATCTCACCCCAGGAACAGATGGAGAAGCGACAGATCGGAAAACAAGAAAATGGAAAATAATATCGTCAGAAACACAACTTAACATCAAGCAAAGTTGTCCGAGTCGTCAGGCTCTTTACTTCCAAATAAGATCTTTGACACAGGAACACCTATTTAATCATTTCGACAGCAAAGAAATGAAGAAGTAGACGTCTTTTTTCTTTCACATAAAAAGCCTTAAACTATGATGCATGAATAAGCACAAATTCATGGAGTTAAAAACTACTTACTATCTAAATAGCCACCTATATTGTTTTTCTCTCTAACATTAAATTAGGCAGAGCCTTTCCTGTTTTACCAAAATTATTTTCATTTGACAAACAATGAGAGATTTTTTGGGAGTTATATTCTTTAAATTCAAAATTTTAGATAAGTTTTCTTAATGTTTGGTAGAAAACTGTACGACTGTAGTGATTTGGGTTTTCTGTGTGTTTATTTAGGTTTCTGTGTTCTGTAGCGTCTCTGTGTTGTCCTGTCTACCCATTGATTGTTCCCAGCTGTGTCTTGTTACTCGATTACCCTCTGTGTATTTAATCCCACCTGTGTTCCTTGTAGCTGTCTTGTCATACTGTCTGGTTTGTGTCTGTTGCTGCTGTCCATTGAGTTTCCAGTTGCTAGCAATTTTCTGAACCTTAGCTTTCTGCTCTTTATCTGTACCGCCTGGACTTCGGATTATTTTTCTGAATTCATCATTAATTCATCGTTTCTTCATTTTCTAGCGGACACGGTGTGTCAGGAGAATTACTTTTATAAAATATTTTCAGTGTCCTTCTGCAAAACTGGAAGAATAGTTTGCAGGACGTTTGACCCACTTCTCCTGACAGAACTGGTCTGACAGAAATGGGTTCGTAGGCATCTTTGGGACACCTTCACTGTCTCCTCTTACTCATTATTCTGCTACGTAGGAAAACATTGTGGTGACTCATCTAAAATATGCAATTTTAACAGAGTATGGTAAAAGTAGTATTTAAATTTATTCCCGTGCAAAACCAAATTGCGCCAGTAAAATAAATGAAGACAAAATTACAAACGCATAGTACAAGGGGACAGAAAGCTCTTCTTACTGTGAAATAGGACAGAAAAGTAAACAAAGAAAAAAACTGGGACAAAGGAGTGGTCCACAGCCTCAAAAGCTTCTATTGAAAGGGAAATATTAGTTACAGTGTGATAAAAGTTTTTATAATAGCCCACAGAATAAAAAGCAAACAGAGTAACTTAACGACAGAACTAGAGAACAAAACCCGAGGCTGGGTGGGACTCCACTCTGTCCTTGTAACTTTATTAATGCAACTTGAAGCAAGGAATCATGGAAAACCTGCAGCCATCATTGCTGTATCTGTTGCAGGGCCAGGACTGTTTTAGGTTTTCAAAGTCATAGACTTTTCCAGCACTTACTGAAATAAAATAATCAGGTCTTTTTCTATTTTTTTTAAAAAGAGGCGATCCAAGATTCTAATTAGAACATTTTGGCTATAACTTTGGAAAATATGATTGTCCTTTTATCTTTCATTTTGAAAAAGCAGAGCAGAAATGCTGGAGACTTTACAGCAGACTAAACAACACACCTCAGCCGTGCAACAAATACAGCACCACTGGTAGCAGATCTTTAAGTTTGTAAAGTGATCTCGACTTATCAATCTAATTAAAAACAGAGCCCATCACAATTACACAACACACTGAAATATTAAATACCTATGTGAATCAAAATTTGACCAACCCCTGACATTATTGCAGAGAAACGGTCTGGGATCTAAAAGCATAATCCCTCCATCTAGTCATAAAAAGCAACAATGTGCCAGCACAGCCAAATGCAAGCAAGACACAAGTCATTAAAGATATACATCAGCTACTGCAGTCATATGACATGAGTTCATTTTTTGCTGGTTAATGTGTCTTTTTTCCTCAGCTGGAGTCAAAACTCCCACTTTAAACTCTGCTTGCCAGTTAGATTTTGCTGAATAATGGAAATCACAAAAAGTTATTCTTTTCCAGTTTTGAGTGAAATATCTGGTGCTGATCCATCAACATACGTAGCAGCATAAATTTTGACAACACTGGCTGTGATGACCCTACATGTTTCTCTATCTTTTTCTGTCACTAAAACTCCCAAACTGGAAAAATCAGTTTTCCAGCAGAGCCTAAATGCATCACAGCTGAATAATTATGACCTATTAAATATTGCATTTAAGCAATCCTCAGCATTGCTTTACTGCACACAGTGACGAATGCAATATGGAATGTCTTAAAATTAATATTTAAATGTTATTAAAACGATTAACTGAATAATCCAGTGTGTCCTTCCTATAATTTCAGCTCTTGTTCTCATCTGGGTTTTGAGCTCTGTCATTGTTTGGAAGACGCATTCAGAGGAAATATTCAGTGGAGTTAAACACAGTGGAGGCACTGACAGATAGAAACATATGACAAACATTAAGTGGACATTCATGAGGAAGATGGAATCTCATATGCTGTACATTAGGCTCCAAGAGGCTAACATTTTAAAAATTAAAAAATATACTTTTTAGTATTTAAGGTTTAATTTACAGAGATCTCAAAATACAATCATGTTCAGACAGACCTCAAAAAAAAAAAAAAAAACATTTCTAAACTACCATGTTTACCACATTTGGACTCATTCTTTTAGGGACAATTTTATAACAGGGTTACTGAAGAAAAACAGCAGAAGGAATGAGGAAATGGAGTATCTGAAAAACGCAGCTAGAGAAAATGGGCCACAACCATTTCTGGGATCTGGGAAAATTCAAAGTGAACTTCCAGTGAATCTGCCCACAACTTCTTAATGAAATGTTTATCTATTTGTGTTGGTTTTAGGCTGTGGTCTTACTTGATCAAGAGGCGGGCCTGCGCCTCCTCAAACTCATTTCTGAGGAACAGATCGAGGGCAGCCATGCAGTCCTCCAGGGCCACAGACAGGTCGGACCGAGCGCACCTGCAGGATCAGACACATCCACATTAAACCTCACAGTTAAATGTTATACAATATGTGTTATCTTACATAAACCAGCAGAGCAGAGTTTACTTTTGATTCAGTAATATTAGTCAAACATGTTAGTCTTGATAAAACAGTGACTTAAATCTGCATCTTATTGGACAAAAACAACAACAATTCTTCTATCTAGCAGGTTTTTGTCTTTTCTCCCTTAAATCTGACAGTCACTTCTGACCTGGGTGCTCTTCCTGTTGATTGCATTTTGCACAATACCAGTAACTGTGCTAAAGATAAGAAACAGAAAAAGGAACAGAGGCTGCATGAGGCAGATAGATGAACCGACTCAATGAGTGTTGTTAACCGTGTCTCTGTTTGCATTATGCTGCAAATTACAGAGAAAATCAGCAGAAATTTTATTTGTATAGCGCGTTCCACCAACAAGGCAGTACAAAGTGCTTTACATCATAAAAACACAAAAATCAACAATTGAAACTTTACATTTTTTCCAAGTGCTATCATTAAATGAAGAGTAAACAGCATCAATATTTGTGTCAACTTATCAGCAATGCAATGGGAGGATTTTCTGTGCTGAGCAGAGCGCACTGGTTAGTCTAAATAATAGTAATAATAATAGTAATTTTAAAACCCAGTGCGTCGGTTTATGTGCAAGTCTAAGAAAGTGCAATCAAAATGCCGATAAAATGCTGATCACTGTGAGCTGACCATATCAAAACTGTACAGCCCACATTTTCAGATTCAGTGTGAAATTATTTTATAAAGCCAGTTGAGTTGCTGAAAATTGTTTTTGGTAGCATTTCAAGTGCATTTTACATTTGAATTGCAGTCTAGAAGATTCACAACTTTTCTCAGTTTTTAAGCAACTTATATGTGCGATTTGGGGGTGTGCACACATCTCCCAAGCTGTTGCACCTGTGGATGTGTCATTGTTAATCAGCATGGTGAGGTTGTGATGAAGTTGTATTCTCGGAATGTAACCAGTATGATCAGCCGATGCAGGTGCAAAAAGGACACACCTCATTGATAAGCCACTGGACCAGCTTCCTCCATGCAGGATTACCTCTTAAAGGCACAATGAACCAGCAAAATTACAGACAGGAAGCTTCTGCTTGCCCTAAACTGTTCCGCACTCCATAGGATTGCATTGCATATTTAAGGAGACTTCACCAAGACAATGCAAAGACCCTCCCCCTGCTTTATAATTGATTCTAATGATATGGTGCAGCCTCAGTCATTGGGGAAGGCAACATTCAGATCTACACAAACAGCTCCAGTCTCCATGATGAAGCTAAAACAGAGCAGAAGCTGACCGTGTGACAGACCCAAACAGTGGTGGCTAATACATTTTTACATTCCTGTCTGCTGGATGCACAGAGGAACAATAAAGTCATGTTATGAGGACACACTATGATGGAGCTCTGTGCAGACTGGGCTAATGACATGCAGGTGACTGCCGTCTTCACAAGCCAAAAGCTCCATTTCTTAAAAACAAAACACACTCTGAGCTGCTCTAAAATAAAGACGCACGTATACGAACCATGTTTCTTTTTTTTTAATCATATATATGCCTCAAAGTATGGCAAGCAACAAAGCTGCAGTCACAAATTTTGTTGATGGCGCATTGATGATTGTGTTGCAAATATGTTATATTTTAAGAAACGATTGAAACCATGAATTGTTTTCGACAGGATGAATAACATAACCATTAAAAGTGTAGAAAAAAGGAAACAAGCACTCATGTCACATGTCATCCAACATGTGACCACAGACTTCACCAAGCCTGTCCAACCAGCACTTGCCCTCATGTTTACTCTGTGAAGCAACATTTACACGTATTACTTTCATTTTCATTTTAAATAAATCTCACTGCTTAATACTTATAATTCTGTAAAAATGTATCTACAGGCGCAGATAAACCAGGCCTACTGTGACCCCATGAGTTTCACCTCATTTAGCATTACATCCATTTAGTAAAGTTTGGTTTATCTGATTTACATAAAGTGACTTGCAAAATGTGATTACAATAAGTCCAGTCTGAACTCATCAGCTAATGTGTGCTGACCTAAGCTCGTATTTTTCTGATTTTCAGTGTAACCTGATAGGTGTGAAGCTGTGACCTCTGGTGTTTGTTTGTTCTCTGTTAATATTAAAAAGAACAACAAGAAGAAGATAAACAATACATCCTTGGGTCTTCAGATTGTTTCTTAGATTATTTACTTCCACTGTTAAGATCTTCACACAGGATTTATGCGTAAACTAACGAGATTGTCAGAAAGAAGCGCAGCTGCAAACAGAAACCACACAGCATCCTATACCCAAATCCTCTTCGCTGCACACAAGCTTTATATATTCAAATTCATGATATGTAGTGTCTGCATATTAGTTCCTAAAGCTTTCAAAGTGTTAAAAGTATGCCTCTCGAAAACAACTTTGAAACAGTTTTAAAGTTTTTGAAAGCAGACTTTGTAAACAGGACTGGCGCCCCTCAGGGTTGTGTTTTCTCCCCACTCCTCTTCTCTCTTTACACAAATGATGGCACTTGAACCTTTCTCTGGATCTGAGGTGGTTCTCTCACATAGCTACTGGCTGGAATAAGACCCAGAAGAAAATGTAGCTCCTGCAGCAACTCAAGAAGAACAACCTACCCAAGGAGCTGCTGGTCATCTTCTCCACCATCATTCAGTCCATCCTGTATTTGTATGTCACTGTGTGGTTGGGCTCACTCACCAAACAAGACAGGACCAGACAATATGTCTGCACAGAAGGTCATCAGCGCTGACCTTTCCCTTCAGACAGAATTTCTACAGTCCTAGGGTCAGGAAAATGGCAACCAATATATCTGCATAACCCACACATCCTGGACACAGAGTGTTTGGACTCTAGAGAGCACTGCTTGCAAAAACAAGCTGCCACTTAATACAAATTACATAAAGATCGCAAAGCACAATGCAATACTTCAGTTTAGCGATTTATCAGGAACAATTGCTATTGCTAAAAATTGTATTACAAAGAAAATCCTCTTTTGATCACAACAAAGTTCTCAACTAAAGATGTTGAATCAGTGGCAGCTGCTAAGTCTTCAGGCCAATTTGTGTCTTTTCTAATTATCACCCCCATTTAATGTTCATGTGCTGCCAAACTTCAATCATTTCATAGCTGTTTAATTAACTGTTAGATAAATGTATCTCTCTTGGAAGCTATATATTTTTGATCATTTACAGCAGTAATAATCATTATTTTCACAACATTTGTATTACTTATGGATCCGGGTTCCCTTTGAGCAACTCGATTTATAAAACATGAAAGATAATATTGTTAAATATCTTTATTGAAATAAAAAATATACATTTACTTGCAGGATGACATGTTCTACTTTAAATTACTGGTTGCACAAGGAGGTCAAAACTTCCCCCGTGTCGGTACAAGTTCTTGTACCGTCGGTATGAAAAATGATTTAGTTTGATGAAAGTCAGCAAAGAAAAGAGCAAAACGGTAAAGGTACAAAATGGCGAAGGAACAAAGTGACCAGTGACCTCATTGAAACAGAACAGGAACAAGAAAGCACATTGCACAACTACAATGATATGAATGTATTGTTAGTTATTTCACGGTAAAAAGCTCACATTTCCATGGGATTTCAATTAAATTCAATAAATCCGAATCTGAATTCGATCCCATTCAGTTCTTTGTAACCAATCAAGTTCAGTTCACACTTTTATGCATCGAATTCAACTGAATTCAATCCCATGTCATTCAATCCTCTTCAGTCAAATCCTTTTTTTTGCAGTGCAGTCCAATTCAGTTAAATTCTGTTCAGTTCAGTTCAATTAATTATTTATCCCAAAAAAGATGAAACAATTCATTATCCAGGATTTTAAGTCATTCTTTCGTTTAGTCAATTTTAACACCAAACTCTGCTATTAAATAAAACAACAAAGTTATCACCTGAAACGTGTCTGAGCCAGATGAGTGAAAATCTGTAGATTTAAATGTGTAATTTCATTTAAGTGAAGGGATTGTTTTAAGTGTTTATTCTAACTCCAAATCTCTTGTGAATCAACTACAAGATAAGGCTGACTATTTGCAGAACGCTTGATAACTTATTTAGGTTGTTTAAATAGGTTAAATGACTCCTCGTCTTCGTCACTGTGTTATCTAAATCAGGACTAGAACCAACAGAACTGCAACTGCCTGGTCGGACAACAACTTTCTGGCACTTTCAGGCTTGAGGCCACAGCAAATGAAAAAAACAACAACAAAAAAACAAATCACCATAAAGTGAATGATGAATACCTTTGAAACAAGGAAAGAGCTGCAGGCAGAAGAGGCTAAACGAACAAAAAGAATCAATTTGCTTCAGGATGTGCATACCACACATTGTCCCAATAATTCAATAAAGTTTCAAGTCAGCAATTCTGCTAATTTCTCCAGAGAGCAACTTGCACAATGCTTTCCATTATCAGGCAGATGCACACATAAAATCATCACACCATGTGGTCGCGCAGACCAGTTTGCAATAACACACACGCGCGCGCACACACACACAGCTCCACAGCAGTGACGAAGCATTAGTTTGTCGACTCAGAGCTCACAACCTTCTCATTCCAGCTGAAATAACAATTTCAGAAGCTTTTTTTAGGTAAAGAAAAAAGAAAAAAAAAAGTGATCTCGCTTATTTGCCTAAGCATCATGGTTAAAAAGACATTTCCCCTCATATGACGAAGCGGAGCATGCAACATGCAGCAGAAATCTTACCCATTTGACAGACTCGCTTCTTCTTGTGACATTTTCATCTGGCACAGTGCGTTTAAAGGAAAGACTCAGAGATAGCAGACAACACACAGAAGACTTGCAGAAGTGAGCCTCAGGCCTTCACCGGGGGCAGCGCAGAGTAATAATGCACTGCGCTTCTTTCTGTGGCTGCAGAGTCTAGAGCAGAAGCAGCAGAAGAGAGGAGAGGGAGAAGAATGAATGAGGGAGGAGGGCGGAGAGAGAGCGAGGGAGGGAGGGAGGAAAAGGTCGGAGGCAGCAGCAACAGCAGCCCTTAATGAGATTGGCATGACCATCACACATGAGGAGGAAACACACGACCTGTCTGCGCTGCTCTAAACACACACAAACACACAAACAAAAAGCCGGGACCACCTCCCCTGATCGCCAGCCTCCCTGCAGTCTCTGCTCTGATTGGTCAAAGCAAACTGAGGGGTGGGCTTTGAATGCCTACAGGTTTAGAGCAGTGAGTGGTGCCCAAAGTCGGTCTTGGAGAGCCGGCATCCTGCATGTTTTAGTTCTCTCCCTGGTTTAATGCACTTATAGATCAAATGGTGGCTCGTTAGAAGGCTTAAGGTGAACATTGCTGAAAAGGTTGTTAGTATCATCAGGCAGAGAACTGAAATGTGCAGGATGTTGGTCCTTGTGGACCGACTTTGGGAACCCCATGTTTCAGAGCCTGAGGGCTTTCATGCAAGATGGGGGGAGGAAAAAAGAGTGAGAGTTACATCATATAGTTCTATATAGTTCAGTGTGTTGCAGTGTCAGAGAGAGACTGCAGCGCGTCCTGAAGCAGAGGCCACGGATGCAGCACAGCAGCTCCCACCGGTCATGAATGCAGAGCCGGCTCTCTGCATATAGCAGAGCAGGAAGAGACTGACTTCATCTACCCTCACATGGCTGTTCTGTTCTCCTGCCTTGTGTAAATAAAAATGTTCTGAATGACAAATGTTTGGTTTTCATGCAGCCTGGATTCTGTCTGTGACAGGATTCAGGTTAATATAATATCTTTCTGCAGTCAGATTCCCTAATATAATATCTGAAAGAAAAGCGCTTCACTGCTAATGTGGTGTAAAGTTGGAGAAGTACTCTGAAAAGTGTGGCATGCTGGTGAAATTAACTAATCAAACCATGCTCTGCTGCTGTTACAGCTAATTATTTATTTATTTTTTTTCACTGAAGAGCTCGAGCTCAACCAGACTGAAATGACATCTCTTTTGAAAAGACATTTGCAAATTTCTTCTTCCTGGGCTTTGACTAGGCCATCTCCAGTTCTCGAGGTTCTACTGCCCTGGAACCTTCAGGTGCCTCCTTACTTCAACACACCTGAACCAGGATGTGGTTGTCTGGAGTCTTTGGCTCTGACTCCATGTTTAGTTGTTCTGTTGAACCTTTGCTCCAGCCGCAATTTGTTTTGCAGCCTCTTGACAGCTTTTCTAACATCGATACTTTGCATTTAGCTCCATCCATCTTTCTATACGTTCTGACCAAGTTACCTATTTCTGCTGACCACAAATCTGCGAGTATATGCTAGTTTTTCCCCACCATCCAACATTCTGAATGCTGCAAAAAACAAAAACAAAAAAAAAACAACCTTCTTCCTCATATTTGCTAAGCACCACAAACTTTAAATATAACTTCTAACAGCTTTCTTTAACTATTAGCTTCTTTATTCTCGAGTGGGAGGGGTGGGGGTGTAATTCCTGCTGATTTATTTGCAGCAAACGCTGCCTGAATTTCTGCAATCCAACCCAGAGTTTGTTCCATTCAGAGCGAAGCCCTACCCATTTGATGACGGGTCCATTGACCCCTGAGTGTCGCTGTTCTCTGGAAGCTGTAACCTGAAACACAGGAACAAAATTGAAGGTGTTCAGAGAAAAGCAGCAGCTCTCAAGGGATAAAACCAGCTGAAAGCACAGCTATTGTTTGAGAAACACAAGCGTGAGAGCCAAAGAAACACAGGCAGGGATAGATGAAGACACTCCCGTTTTGTAAAGGTATTCACAACAATCTAATGAGACCTTTTTAGATAATACTTACTTGACATTTTTTGGGTGAAAACAGCCTTATTTTTAGTTTATTAGGTTAGATGTGATCCTCAGTAAGTTTCACTAACATATTTCAGAAGAATCAGAAGAACCTTACTTGAAGTCGGTGACGATGGGGTCCAGCTCTGGACCACTTAAAACAAACAACCTGGAATCAGAAAACAGGATCAGCCGCATTGCCTCCGGATCATCATCATCATCATCATCATCATCATCATCATCATCATCATTACGGGGTCGCTTTTGAGAAGCGACGTTTAATTTAGCAGTTCCACTCCTCATTGTGACAGTATGAAATGAATGAAATGCAAACATACCGGCTCGGTGAGTCTGGGCTGTCAGGCATATCTTGTGCCTGTTCAGTGACTCTGTAAAGACAAGACAGAAAATGTAAGACATGAATTTCTGATGGAGCGGGGAGGAGATCTCAGGAATAGGGATTCACAAGATTGTTGGAGATAAATCAAATGCTTACGAGGAAAGCCTCCTGGAAGACAACAGACCGTAAACATAATGGTTTCAACAGAATGAAACATTCAGAAAAAGGGCAGCCACACAAATATGGAAACCTGTCTTGTTTTATAAATCTGCAAAGGCTGCTGTGTTTTCACACAAAGTGTAACATGCAAACTGCCAATAATATCAACAAAATATGAAATGACTATGCTATTGCTGAAAATTTCAATATCAGTTATTCTTGCCTCCATCTTTCTGATAATTTTCAGTTCTTTATCATTAAACAATCTGAGCACCACTCCGAGATTAAACGTCTCAGACGCTGAAGAAATGGATCAGGTGGGGCATTAAGGGCAATTACTGTCCATCCAACAGCAAACACGTATTATAAATAAACACGGTGATTCTCTAACACTTTAAATGTAACATCCGACTCATAGTGCGTATGAGAAGTCTTGCTGCGCAATCTGAGTCTGCGATTCAATGTAATCAAATTATCTTGCAGATCACCAGCCAACCCAAGTTGCTGCACTTTGAAAAGGATCAGAGGTTAAACTTAAAGAATGATTTTCTGAGAATTAATTATTCCAACAAACACGGGAAGAATCAGGTCATGATTCCTGTTAAGAAATATGAGTTTTCTTCTTTTTTTTAAATATCTCATTCTCTCATTACTTAACATTTTCTTATAAATTAATTGACAAGAAATCAAATGTTGAAAATGTATTTTGAGAGATGCTTTTTCATGGAGCGTTTTTTTTAATTTTATTTTATTGATATCACCAAAACATCTTTCTCATCAAATATTTGCGAATAAATAAATTGTTTTAGTTTTGCAGCCAGTCAAAAGTGACATAACTTTTCAAAGACACTACAAACATTACTCACTTTAAATGATTACTTTTGTGGGCCAAACCCTAATTGATGAGGTAAAATGGCAACTTCATTGTTCAAAAGGTCTGTCAGCCAGAATATCACATTTACATTACAACAGGGAGATGAAGTAATGGTTCTATGCATTTGGGTTCCTAGAACCACTGAACCAGACAGCAGCATTGTTCCTTTGCACTCCTTTCCATTTGATCTACGTCAGAACTGCTGACTGTAATCCCCATTTACCGCATCATGACAGTAATGCTGTCCAACAGGCCAGACATTACAAACACAAACATTTTCATGCACTTCCTTCTGCCTCGAATGCTCTTAAAAGTTGATGAGTTCGGGCTTAAACGAGTTTGTTCTCTTCTGATGAACTAAATAGGTTCTATATATAGAACTGGTCTGGTCCTGGTTCTGGTCCTGGTTCTGGTCCTGCACTGACTGCTGTCCCTAAACTCACCTTTTGCCGTCATCCCTCCTCGCGCTTCGCCTCAAGCTGTTAATGAAACTCATCCCACGGCGCTGAAGACTGAGCAGCCCTTCACACAGCGGACATGGAGGGACACACACACTCTCACACACTCACACACAGGACGGGACAGGACAGGACACGGGCCGCCTCACTGTCACCTCACACGGACACGAGTGGCGGAGAGCAGCCGTTGGGCCTCTTCCTGCTTCCTGACGTGGTGAAAAGGTGTGCTGCTCTTATCACCATAATAATGGCTTTTGTATTTAAATGCACAGGAATGTGGCTCCGCGGTCCTAAAGCCCTCCGAGTTTAAACACCTGTTGATGACAGACGCTTAAAAATACAAAGAAACTGCTTGTCAAAGCTAAATTCTTAATTTAAGCATTAAAATACAAAATTAAAGTAAAAATCCCAAACACATATGAGTATGTTTATAATAATTTTAACAATATCACATATTTTGTAGACATTAGAGATTTGGAACCTGTTACAACACTGCAAAAGTAATAAAAATAGTAGAAATAGACGTCTTATTAACACTTACTTTATGATTTATGATGAAATGATCCTATTTGCTACAGCTGCTCAACACTCCCATTATGTTCAAAATAGAAAGGCAGACTGTGCAAATAGTTTATTAAACTGTCTCACGTCAAAGGTGATTTTGCACAGTCCGAATTCAAAATGTATAAACTGAGCCGAAAAAGGACAATTTAAATGAACCAATATATACAGTATCTAAGCCTCCATGTATAATTTTGACTCTGAGTGGGTTAGAGTAAATCTCTGGTCACTCCAACAAACCAAAATGAGTAAGTCATCCAGACTGAGTCGACGTAAACATCTCACTGAAATTGGATATTTTCTCTGCATGGAGTCGCTGAAAGTGAGGAAAAAACAAAGAAAAGAAAACAAAACAAAACAACACTGCAAAACTACACATTTTAATATTTATTCAGTTTCAATTAAATGTGTTACAATTTGTTTTTTTCTGGTTAAGCCTCCCGATAATGATCTTTCTTACAAGTTAGAAAATACAAAATAAAGTACAATAACTTCGAGATTTAAAAAGACTTTAAGAGTAAGTCTACGAGCATGAGTGGTTCTGGGTTTGTCTGTACAAAGGACAGTAAGATGGCCTTTATAAAAAAAAAAACTATTAACACTGGCATAACAGACTCAGGAAACAGACATGCAAATCTTCTATATACAATAAACTTCAACACAATGCTGCACTTGTTAAAAAGTGCTGTTTTTAGTCACAGATAGTAGTTGGGTTAAACATAAACAAGATTTATGGTAAAAGTCATAACAAAAGCGATCCATAATGCTGTAGTATATTTGATCAACAAGCGATTTAAAAAGAAATGGAGGCAGTCTGTTTTTCAGCCAAATCTTCCCTTATGAGAATCCAGCTTTTACGTGTGACAAGTACCTCTACTGGGAGAAAACACCAGACTGTTTAAAAACAGAAAAGCTCGGGCAGCTGTTAGTGCGGTTGTGATAAGACATGAAGATGAAGTAAGATGTGAGGATTTATTGTCACAGCACGAGCTGGTGAGCTAAAATCGACTCAGCGAAAGATCTGCTGAAAGTATAAAAGAAAGTTGCTGCGATGCGACGACTGATGGACACACAAAGGACAGAAATCTCCCGAAAAACATCTGGGAGCGGCAAGAGAATGAGCACCAACCACAGCGACGCTTTGAAATCGGGTCAAATGAGAGATTTATCAAAAATAAAATCAAAAACAATTTTTCTTTTAAGAGAGAATACTTTTATACTTTGCCTTAGGAAAATCTAAACGGCACCGACATAAAGCCAGAAATGATGAAATCAGGTAAGAATAGATTACATTTATATCAAAAATGATTCTTTTAATATTCAGCAACCCTAAATGTAGTGTCCCAAAACTTAAATGCCATTGAAAGGAAGTAGTTTTATCCCTAATCTTCAAACATGCCAAACATAAAAGAAGAGAAATGAGTGAAAACATGAAAAATACCATCTCCTGCAGAAGACTGATATAATGGACTTCTTTTGTTTTTCTTCTTCTCTTTACATGCAGTTTACATTTCGCAGGATTTCAGGGAATACATGTAGAAAAGTTCACTTATAGGGGGAAAAAAACTGATCAGATCTCCAGGGCAATACATGATCGCGCAGCTTAAAAGAGCTACTTAAAATACTTACAGAGGCTACATTTTGTTACACAAAACCTCAAATTTTCACAGCCAAATGTGGTTTTTGCAGGGTGATTGAAGAGCACAGAGAAAAGTCGGGGATTTCTGGGTACTATAGTACACGAATGTTAAATCCCTTAGGAAAGGAAAAAGTGGAGTAGTGTTGTTAGTGGCAGAAAACGGATCGTTTCAGGCTAGTTCTGAGTGCATATTAAAATAAGTTAGATTCTGCAGGCTTAGGCTTGTAGCCATCTTGGTTCATTTTCCTCCTCCGTGTCTCTTAACTCTTGCATCTTTTCCTTTCCGTCAAACCCGTGCAGACCGGCAGAATGGAGAAGCGTTTTACTGCGGTGTGAGAACAGTGAGCAGGTCAAAGGGGGCAGAGGGGCGCTGAATGTTTCTGGGAACAGTTTTGAAGTCTCTGCAGGAGCTGCTGCTGCATCAGATCTGTGCACGTCCCCCCGTGTTGCTTTGGTGCTTTTCGGGCCGGGTCAGGCTGTGCGGCGCCAGCCCGGCTGAGGGGAGCCGCCGCCTCAGGAGAGCTCAGACTTGCTTAGAGCGATGGCGAGCTCCAGGTCTTCTTGCTCCTGCTGGGTGAGCCTTGCTAGCCGTTCCTTTTCCTCTCGCTCGCTCTCGCGCTTTGCCCACTCTATCATGTCTTCCTCGGTTGGATACTGCACCCATGAAACAGAGTAAGAACAAACACAGAGGACACGTTGGGTGGAGAATCTTTCTCAAAGTGGACATTTTCACTCGTCAACCCAAAATGTCCATTTTCACAAATGGACAACTATTACGACCATCACAAGCACGAGAACGAAATACACTTTTCATGGGGGAAAAAAAAGAAACATCCACAAGTGACATCCTCTTGGGCGTTTTGTCATTGTGGATTTCACGGAGACATGTGACTGGGATGAAAATCAACAGGCTGAAATGTGGGTAAAAAGCATGCAAGCTGGGATTTCCATTGAGTCATATGATCAACATCACACCCACTTTACAGATCCACAACGGGAACCGGACAGGAGCTTTGGAAATAATCAGGTCACTGCCCCAGACTGGGCTCGAGTCGCTCATCACTCTCAGTGAAAGGAGCCACAGATTCATCACATTTTTTTTTTGTTTCCAGGCATGCAAAGAAAAATAACCAATCTGGTCACCAACACACAGCAGCCATGATCAGGATCACAACATAAATAGAGCATGCATGATGAGGAGGGGTGGAAACATGAAACGGAGAGAGGAGAGACCATGCAGACTTCACAAAATCTTCACATCCGATTGATCAGTGATATTTAAGGCTAAGCAAAAAATAAGATGTTTTATTTTCTATCTGTAATGGCAATTTACTCAAATCTCAGTTAAGAAAATTTTTTTTAAAAAATGTAATCACTTCTAAAAGATTGCAGATTTATTCTGTGGCCATCAGAACAGCCATTAGACTCTATTCAGATGAAAAAAAAAATTCGTTTCAACAATCACAGAGTTTAGTAAAAATATCTGTATATATTTTAAATTGTGTGGTTTTAGTTAAGAGGATATTTTAGCAAGAAACATTCCAGGTGGGTTTGGTCTGGGAAAAAATAGCATAAATTTGGGAGGGAACCATGTAATGCTCAATGTGGTAGAGGTTTGTGACGCTACGGTTCCCTTTAAAACAAAATACAAACTCAGAGCCTCTTTAAAATACCAGCCAGTTAAAATAAAGTGACACTCTGCTGGTCAACTGAAAATGGGACGACATTGGGTCTTTCAACTAATGTGATATTGATACAACAGTGGGTCACCAGATTTAAAAAAATAAATCAATAAATCAACCTTCTTCCAAGGCCATGTTAGCACTAAAACCTGAATCCTCTAGAAAAACTGTTTTTCCCAAGGGTATAATACTTTTCAGGATTTGCGAGAAAACTATTGTTTCAAAACTGTGACTGCACTTTCCCCTTCTTAATAACTGTATCAAATTGAAGGCTGTTTGTTGAGTCAATTCATCTTGAGTTTTTCTAAACCTCTTTTTTTTTAAACTCCACAATCATAAAACATGTTGAAAATCTAATAATTCAATTTTAAATCCCCACCAAGTTTCTGGTCATATAGCCCTTCCTGGGTCATGCTTTGGAAAAACAATATGAAGCACACGCTTACGTATCTGAAAACAAACTAAAAATGCAGAGAAACTTTGGATTTTTCAAGTGGAGAGGTGATGGATGCACATAAAAGCCAGAGATGGTGGCTATGATTCAAGACTTTATTAAACATTTCTTTATAACAAACACATAAACACACAAAGAATACAAGCAACCACACAATGCTGATCAGCTGACAGCTGAGAGTGAAATAAGTTGATGAATGGATGACGGGTGGATGCATGAATTAATTAGCAGCAGCACGAAGAGGAAAACAAATGAATTGGGGGATGTTTGAGGAAACGGTTAGTGTGTGCAGGTTAGGGTTCGACAGAGGCATGCAGGTGGGGTAATGTGATAATAGAGGCATCAAAAATCAAGAAGGAAATACAGCCATCCATCCCAAAATTACAGCTTGACCACCCATTTGTACGCTGTGTTACAGGAGCAGAGCTGCAGTTAGTAAAATGGCACCATTAGAAAATTATTTATTTAGTTATGGCGAAAGCTCAACTCTTGGTTTGGTCCAAATGAAATCGTTTTTGTTTTAAAATTCAAAACGTTTTAAATATGATTCAGTCGAAAAGTGCAGCCCATGTGAGGCTCAATGTTTTTACTCTGGTTTAAATCAAAGCTCACAGGCTTGTAGGTCATTGACTACTGAAACATTTCCGCCACTGTCGACCTGATGCTGCATAAACTAGAGCAACCTGCTTGATGAATACTGTAGCTAGTAAAATTCAGTCGAGTCAATTTCAAGGATAAAAGTGGAATAAAAATCTTGAAAAAGGCAGTTTAAACACAGCTTATGTTTTTATCTTGTAAATAAGTTTGACTTGCTCGCACATGGACAGGGTGTAAAGTCAATGTCCTGAGTTGGGATGGCAAACAAAAGTCACTCAAGCAGGTTTTCATCTTTCCATTCACTGCCAAACACGAGTCAAGATGTTTGTCAATAACGACCGGCACCACAACTTGTGTGTGTGACTACAGAAAAATGCAATTTAACTGCAGATTAAATATATTAAACTGTTTATAATCTTTATAACAAAATAAGGAGTGCAACCATAAGAGTTAAACAAAGTGGAATCCCAAAAATAAATCAGAAATAATATTTTTAACAATGCAAAGCAACAGCACTGTTGCTAGGTAGCTAAAATATAAAAACAGCAGCAGGCAGTATTCAAAATGCACAAGATTTTGTCAGCTGGCTTTAATAAATGTAGGCAAACATAAATATATATATATATATATATCTATAATTAAGAATACAGGCAACCTTGTGCATCGATGCATAAAATGTTTATTTGTCTTCTCTGGTATCTGTTGGCAGTGAATGGACTGAATAGTTTCACATTCTTGGAGGACCAGATGTGATTAATGAGCAGAAACATAAAGAGAAGAGGTGAGGCTACTGACATTCAGGAGGAGGTGAGGGAGATGGGGAGAGGGAGGTGCTCACTTTGTCAAAGCTGGCAAATCGATCAGCTTCCCGCACGTTGTGGCGAGGAGGGGAGGAGGGGGCGAAGGGGTCAGCTAAAGGGTCCTTGGCAGGCAGGGAGGAAGAGGTGGAGAAGTCTCCAGAGGTCTGAAGGAAGTGTCCTCGTCGCTGGAAGGAGTCGGAGGACTCTGTCCTAGAGACGGACGCTCTCTTACCTGATGAAGCAGAGACAACTCGCAGTGTTAACCCATCCACACCAGAGGTGGAGCCGATTATGAGTCAAATCTGGATGATTTTCTGAACTGACCTGGAGGTGGGGGAGGCGGTCTAGTTGGCGTACCCGTTTTAGGCGGCAGGGCAGGCGGCACGTCAGAGTTGGCAGGCTGGCTGTCCTCCTGGAACAGGTTCTTGTTGTTGATGCCAAACTGGTCGGGACCGTTCGACTGGAACAGATGGTTCACATAAATACAGGTCTATGCTTCCAAAGACGCAAACATCAAGCATTTTCATTATGCTAGTAAATTTGTGGCAAGTCCAGATGTGCAGTGCATTGTAAAAATATTCATACTGCTTAATTTTTTCCATATTTGTGTTGGCAGACCAACACAAATCAGCACATAAGAGTGAAGTGGGTGGAAAACAATTTATGGTTTTCAACACTGGTTTACAAAAGCAGAAAAGTGACAGAAAAATGACAGCATAACAAAAATAGAACAACTTTTGGGTGAATAGTTGATGTGTCTGCTGTCCTTGTTCTTTGTTTTCTTCACTGATGTTTTTTAACAAACCTCAGAGGAGTAAAAATTACAAACAGGAAGACTCTAGTTGCTGATTAAGTGACTTCAGGGTGAAGGAGATTATGTTGATCTGTGCTGGTCTGTCCCGACACAAAATCTCAATTAAATACATTAAAGTTTGTTGTTGTAAAGTGACAAAATGTAAAAATATGTTGTTAGAATCACAGTTGGGAAAGACTGATGAACATTTCTGCAGCAAGGTAGAGAACATCTTTCCAACCACCCAGTCCTGTCAAGACATTTGTCTTTATGGTATATTCACATTTTATTGACACAGTCATGCATTTGCCATCATAAAGTCACTTTATTTCAATCTTCTAAGCTGCAGGATTTACCTAAACTCTAAAACTCACCTTTGTCAAAGCACTGAAATCTGCAAATCCTCCTCCAAACGACTCGTTGCCAAACACAGCAGCGAATGGATCTGAAACGGGAACAAACATGGCAGCGTGCGTTTAACTATTTCCAGAAAACACTTGTTTAAATGTAGTAGCTGCGATATGTTTTGTTGCCACAGGGTGGCGTCATTTCATAAGTCATACCTGGATCTGAGGTGGTGCTCACTGTAGTGCCTCCTGGAGCAAAGGGATCATTGGATGGCGCTGAGTCCTTCTAAAACAGAAACACAGAAACTCCATAACGTCCATGACAGAAAGAAAATCTCTTGTCCCAGACTAGAAAGTTATTCAAACAGAAAAGAAACATGGAAAGATCAAGTTTCCTCCCATACCTTCTGTTGCTTTCTATTGTCACTATAAACCCCTTTTTTTTACCACTCATTTATGGCATATCCATCCTGACTAAAACAAGACATGTTTGGTCTCCATATCCAATTTTAAATCAGCGACATGAATATGCAGTAATTTATAAAATAAATAAATAATTAAAATAATAATAATTAAAATAAAATAAGAAAAGTTTTATTTACTTGGTATGCCTGTCAATGAGAAACAAAGCAGTTCTCATCATAAGTGTTAAAATTCATGCATTTTATTTTAGAAGCCATTAATTATTTAACTAATATTTGCAAATATTAGAACCAATTAAATATGAACAAATTGGAACTCTGATTACAGAACCTGTGTAGAAAACTGCATCTAAAAGATGATTGAGTAAATTTAAAGAGCAAAGTATATAAAAAAATATAAAAGATTTTTTTGTGGATGCTCTTGCTTTTAGCTGCAAATATTTCTATGCATTTAACTTTAAACTTGTACATTGGACTTTTAACTTTTTGAGATACATGCCTAAAAAGTCAGACCTTAATACCCCAAACCCAATTATCAATATGAAATTAAACCCTTTAGAGACGCTGCACTTTTTAAGCTTATGAAGTTTTGGATCTGAATGGGTTAGAAAATTCAACCCATAGTTAGACTGAACCACCAGACTATTAGACTGGGCAGTGAATTGGGCCATACGCACCACTGCCAGGTCAGAGCTTGTGGAAGAAGAGCTGAATGGATCTGACCCTCCGTCTTGTGAACTGAACGGATCCGGCTCCCCGGCGTTGTTCAGTTTGCTTCCAAATGGGTCTGAATCCACGTTGTCCCCTGTGGAGCGGAAGGGATCACTAGATGCTGGATTGGTGGTCTTGGAGGCAAATGGGTCTGGGGTTGGTGTTGTTGAAGACGGTGGTGGTGCTGCAGGTTCATCCTTAGCCTTGGCGGCAAAGAGGTCCGGTTCTGGTATTCCAGGAGTAGTGCCAAATGGGTCACCTGAGGCTGAAAATGGGTCCTTTGAGGGAAAAGTGTTGCTGGAGGGCTGGATGAAGAAAGAGTCTGCTGCAAAAGGGTCTGAGCCTTTAAATGGATCTCCGCCAAAAGGATCTGAGAAAAAAAAAGTACAGATTCACTAGATTAAGATTCTTACATAAAAGTGTTTAGATAAACAGATTTTATACTTAAAAGTGACCTTTTATGCTTCCTTCTACAGTTTAGAATAGGTGTACAGGCTTTTCAACACATGTCCATTGCAAATTTTGTACAAAATCATTCTAAGACAATGAGATCTCGTCTGCTCAGGTCTGCTATTTTGAGTTTCTTTCAGAAGAAGCTGTTTTAGGGCCTCTCGGTACACTTTAAATCCAAAAAAGCTGCTTCTGACCGGGCCCCACAACTCAACGTTTACACTCTCATGTGAAAATGACTGCAAAAAGATGCACAATTATACAACCGTACATCTTTGAAAAACGGAAGTAGAGGCTCCTGCTCAACCAACAAGAATGGAGAAAGTGGTTTTAAGTCAGAAACAAGACACTGATCTTTTCCAGCACCCATTGTGCAGCGCATGCAGCCATAAAACCATCGGACCAAACGTTCTGTAGCTTTGCTTGCAGCCTTGCTTGCAGCCAAGGCTTGGCTGGGGTTGCTAGGCAAAGGGCTTAATTTTGTGTTGCTGGGTCAGGAGCAGTGCCGACTGATTAGTGATGTCACATTCCGGAAGTTTTTGAAACGGGTCGTTTTCCAGACACCAAAAAACATGAACTATTTTCCCAGAACTGGTTGGGTGTGTTTTTTGTTTTGTTTAAGAACTTGGGCTGTTTTCAGAAGCAGTACAAGTCAAAATGGAAGTACAAAAACATGCAAAATGGAAATTTTGCATAATATGTCTCCTTTAAGTGAGTATGTTGAAATGGAGAACCACCTGCAACATCTGCTTTTCCAAACGGATCTTCTTTGAATGGATCATCTAGAAAAGACAGGAAAAAAATAGTAACCCAGCATGAGCCACTTTATGCAAAGAACTTAGCTGCCTACAATATATATTGTTCTTAAATATGAAGTTTGACTATTGTAAGGCTTACGGTCGGTGAAAGGGTCTGAATGGAAGAAGTCGATCTCTGGCAGGGAGGGGGGGCTCGTCTGTGGTGGCAGGGAGCGAGCGCCGGCCTGCGGAGGCAACGGGGAGGGCGTCGATTCTGTAGACTCGGTTTGCTCCTGTTGGCTCTCTGGCTCCGGAGAGTCGACCTGTTGGGAGGCCACATGGCTTCTGCATTACAAAATACCACATGTATTTACAGTAAACATTACTAAACCCCTTAAGTAGTTGTCCTTCTGCAGCTTTTCTACACCTGCTCATTCATTCACATCTTTTTGTGGATCTGTGATTACAAGATGTGATTTATTTTTAAGTCTTATTTTACTCCAAATTCTTCTTTGCTCCATAAATTAACTCTAGTCAGGCTTAAATAAAAAAAAAAAACATGTAACAATGCATGACCTTCACTTCACATGATGTGTGTCTAGTTAAAACAGCTTTACATGGGATAATCTGGTAAAGATGAAGATCGAGAAACGATCTGGCGTTTGGTTAAATGTGACATAATGTAGAGACGATATTTATGGAAAACTGAACAGCTGACCAAAACAAGGATAGAGAAATGTTTCTTACTGACAGAACTACGAGTATCTAAAGGTACTCTAACAGCAGTTCACACCAAACTAATGCTAGCACTGCTGGTAAGAACATGATGGTGGTTCAAAATGCTTTTTCTAAATCAGCAGTGAACAGAATCCTGTTGTGTTTTTAGGGATAAAGCAGCAGCAGAGAGTAAGAGAGACATGACAAATGAAACAGTTCTACCACTGTATTTATGGCAATCTATTTGTGTATTTATTCCACTTTTTTGATGTAGCAGACCATTTTTCCAACCAGTTTGTCTTATAAACTTATGAAATCTGCCACCGGGTTTCTAAAACGTTCCACCTTCTGTTCAAACTGAGTCACAAAAGGAGAGAAACAGTATTTACATTTCAAACCTATTAAATTTTGAACGTGGCGGAAAATGAACAAAGTCAGCTCTTACGACTCAAATTTCTTAAAGAGAGACGACTCTTTCAGCTCCCAACTGCCTTCTTGGATTTTTTCATTTCTTAAATAATTAATTACAAAGAGTGATGCCAAATTTTGTGCGGGATGTGATTGTTCTTGGCAAAGAGTTGACTAAGAGTTTCAGTATTCAATATTACATGCAATATCACAGGTTACCATGAAGTTTATCTTCATGGTAACCTTTATGCTACATGAAAGTTCAGTTAAAATAAAATAAATGTGTTTAGTTTTTATAAGAGAGAAAGGTGTCCATCAGTTTTTGATTTTAAAAAATGTGATTATTTGGCTTCTAAAAGGAGAATTTAATTCAAAATGGATAAACTTTTTTTTTTAAACAATTTTGACAAATCCTTTTTCTGTAAATTCTCTCAGTAGCAAGGCTTTATTTAATTCCTCTCTCTCTGAGGGAGTTGGTTTCTGCTTAGGAGGAGTGAAAAAAGAAACCTAGGATTTATGTTTCAATACTTTTGCTTTGGTAATGTATCAAACTTTGATCAAATCGAGTTTTGTACCTTCAGTGGAGTCTCTTTTAGTGACTCAGCATCGGAGACGTCAGATGAGACATCAGCTGCCGCAACATTGTTTTCCTGCTGAAGTTAAACAAAAATATAGTTTATGAGCAGAGCAACGTAAAGACTAACACTTGACAGATAGGTTTTATTTATGTTAAATATGTATGAAACACAATCATGGAATAAATTCATGTGACTACATTACCCCAACTTGATTATCTCGAGCCTTAGAGATGGATGACAGACTGCTGTACATATCCGCGGTGGCCAGACTGGAGAAGAGGTCATCCAGGGCATCAGATTTACTCTTCTCCTCCTCTGCAGTCTTTGCACTCTGTTCCTCCTTCTGTCCATCTTTCTCCTCGACTCCTTCCCTCTCCTTTTCGTCTGAATGTTCTTTCTGCTGATTGCTGACAGCAGCTAGCTCATCCTCCTTCAGCTCCTTGGGCAGGTCGTCACTGAAGAGGTCAAGTTCTGCCGTGGAGCTAGCCGAGCCGTTGACCATGACCGGAGAGCTGTCCTCTAGCGCTCTCTTCCAGCTGAGCTGCGCCGTCACTGACCTCTCCTCCAGGCGAAGGTCTTGTACTTTCTGCTGAACCTAAAGAAAGTAAGCAGAGAAAAACAATTACATGGTGATCCTATATATTCCATGTTCAGTGGAATCACATTGATGAGAAAACCAAAACCAAGATGTCGCCAGATAAGTAAATGTAGCTATGAGTTCCATCTAGGTCTGCAATAAATGATTATTTTAGTAACTATTCTCTCGATGATTAATTGCATTTTTTTTTTAAATATCCATTCTGCACATTTTTTATTTAACTACTTAAGCCTTTTTAACTGAGTTGACCTGAGAAACTTGAGTGAAAGAGTCCCGCACAGATTCCTGCAGAGGAGTGAGTTGTTCCTGAGCAGCTTGGACTTTCTCCTGCAGCTTCCGGCTCTCTTCCTGCAGGGCCAGAAGCTCCTCTCGTGCCTGAACCAGCTCCTCCTCGTACTGACAGATCTTTTGTTCTTGCTCCTCATGCTCAGACTGCAGCGACGAGATCTGGAAAGACGTAAGCGTATGTGAAGCTGCACAGGACTTGAGACATTTCTGATTTCAAAGAAGAATGTTTCCATTAAAATGTATCAGGATCACCAAACTTTCAGCTGTGATGATTTACAAATTGTGAAACGTACAAGTTGTGTCTCTTGGCTAGTCTGCTGTCGAATGAGGCTGAGCTGCTCCTCCAAGGTGTTCTTCTGTTGGTCGAGCTCATCTAAAGCCTCTTGGACCTTCTGACGCTGAGACTGCAGCCGCTGAAGCTCCTCGGTCTCCTTCGCCACTTCATCTTGAAGGCCCTGACACCCGAGCAGAGATCAAAAAATTAACTGGTGCAGCTTTTCTGCAAGAAATATTACTGATGGAATTGGGATAGTGTGCGACAGACCAGCACAAAGTAACGTGCTTCCACTTAACTGCATGACAGTTAAGTGGAAGAGAAACAATACATGTCTTTTTAAGCTGTTACAAACAAAAATTGTTTGTAACAGCTTAGTTAATTTTAGTTAACAGTTTAGTTAATTGTTTGCTCAATTTTGGCAAACAATTTTACAATGTGGTGTTCATCAATGTTGAGACAAAACTTCTGTAGGCAAAGAATAGCATCTAAAAACCCTTCCTAAATTTGGCCAAATTCAAAAAAATCAAATAAAAACAGATTTTGGGTGCAGCACAGTTGGCTTCTGAATAAAACTGAGTGGAAAAACGTGGACCTACTCACCGATAAAGAAAATGTTTTGTGTTGCACCCAACATTTTACTTGGTACTAATTTTCCAATATATATTAAAAATAAAAATAAACATCACCAGCAGCAGCAACCACCAAAAATAGGACAGAAATTAAGTTCTGTGGTCACAAATGTTCTTACGCACTGTTTAGACCAAATACATTTTATGGGTTAGAATGGCCCAGTCAAAGTCCAGTCTGATTTAGACTCTGTAGCAGTAAGATATACTAAAAGTAGTTTTTGTTGTGGAAAGGTTCACAGGGTATGATTAGCTTTCCATGTTGATGTAAATCTAAGTCCACTGCAGTGCTGCACTTAGATTATGAAAAGTTGCAACTATAAGCCTCTGCTGTTCTGTAATAAACTTTCATTACAGTAAAAACAGCTAAACAAGTCAAATTGCTTCAGCGTCAGACTCCCTGAAGATCCACCCTCGCTGCTTCAAGACTGAATTTTTAAAAGTAGAGCAGTCTAGCCCTTTAAGCAGACAGCTCCCAAAATAGAGACAATCTCTGGGGCTCAGAGGGCTGGACACACCTTCAGGAGGACTATAACCTGATTCACTCAGAACAACATTAAAGGAATTTCAGAGGAAGCATCTCAGACTGCAGAGATCATTTATTCATTTCAATTTGATTTAAAAAAGTACTTGAATTGTCCTAAAAGGGGAAGAAATCATGCTTTTAACACCAGCTAAACATCCGTAAATGCCCGCATAAAATGGCTTTATTTGCTTAAAAAATATTCTTTTACTCAAAACACAGGAAACCAGCAAATGTCCAACCTTACCTGTACTTCATCTGTTTGCTGTCGGATAGCCTCCTCCTTCTCTTTGATTTCCTCTTCCACAGAGATCTTCTCTCTGGGTGTCCAGCAAAGGAGACAGAAGTGGTTAGCCACGGAGGACAGACAGGTTAAACTCTGCAGCCCCACCCCACCCAGCCAGGGCCAGGTGTCTGCTGCGCCCCGCTTCTCAAACACCGCCACCTCGGTTCCCTGAACTACCATGATCCCGTCCCCGAATCACAACTTCACGGAACAAAGAGCTGCACAAAAATCCAGAGCGAACGCAGCTGTGTGGAGACGCGTCAGATCGAATTCGCGAGATTTCCAGGAGGCAGGGTGCTGTAATCGCAGTGAGAGAAAGTGTTTTAGAAAGTGAGCATGTGCTTGGACAGTGAAATGTGTGGGAAGTGAGGAGCGAGAAGCAGATGGCTGCATGAGGATGGAGGAAGGTGGAGAGAGAGGACAGATGAGTCATGAGGAGCTGAGATACAGCATCTATCATTTGTCCTTCCTGGGCTGCTCATCCGTTTCATGTTGCTATTTCTACCAGGAGTTAGAAATCAGAGATGGGTGGTGTGTTGTCAGAAAGTTCAGGTCCTTTTGTACGAATTTGATTTGCTTTTTATGGTACTTACAAACCAATATATGTATTTTTAAATCAGAAAGCTTGAAAAGAATCAGCGCAATAATGATAAACACTAAAAAGAAACACTACAAATTAACTATTTTTAATCTCACTGCATAAAATACATCCATCTGTTAAACCAATAGGACCACCTGTCTCACTCTGAGCAGGCATGTCTGCCACAAGATCTGAAAAATTAGTACAGATACCTAAAGTTATATCTAGAGCAGTGGCATCCAAAGTCAGTCTTCAGTGGCTGTTGTCTGGCATGTTTTCCTGGTTGTACACAGCTGAATAAAATGATGGGAAGGGAGTTGAAGCATTTTATTCAGCAGACATGCATCTAAAAATGGCAGGACTCCACCCCTTGTGGACTGCTTTTAACTGTGCATGTTTTCTAGCAATTTAGAAAAATAAATCCTAATTCTAGACTAATCAGCATCAAACCATATAATTGCGCAACATGACATTTTAAAAGTAAATAAGCTTAATGGAAACACGGCAATTTAGCAAAACCTAATTTTCTATAATTCTTTTGTACTAGGATAAAGTTATTTTTAGCCGTATCAAAATTGGTCTATTCCACAAAACTGCAATAAAAAACACCTGTTTTGGATCACACAAGTCACATGATCAACAACCAGATGTTGCCACTGGCCCAAACAATGAAGGAACTAGTTGCAAGATCATGGTGCAGCTTTTTTTAATGACTTATTCATGAGCAAACTTATTCAGGTGTGATTTTATTTGCTTTTCTTATTTAACGGAAACATCACAATTCTGAAATTGTCTTATTTTGACAATAGTGAAATATTGACAAAGTTTGAGGACATTTATGAAGAAAATGCAGCTAAAGTCACTTTTCAGAAAAAAAACCTCAGCAACAATCTTGGAGCATCCGACCAAAAACCTAACTTTCATATGACTGTCTCAGGCCACAGAAACTTTATGTTTTTTGTGGTAGTTCCAGCCTAAGATTACCAAATTTGCAGCATCTTTTTCAAAAGGTTCCACTTTTTACAAAAAAGTTTAAATTACTTCCCTTTCCCTCTCTTACTCTCGAATTATAATCCCTCCTTACCTGAGAAGTCCCTGCCTCATTGTCCTGCTGCTGGCCTCTGGTCTAATCTTTCCTGACTCTTTGCACGTTTTACTGTGACAACAAAGATTTCTTTTAAATATGTGGAAAGCAACAGTGAACACAACTTCTGTACATAAATTAAAGAGGACTGAGATTGTAAAAAAACAACAACAACAAGCTTAATATATAAGCTTGTCAAGTTAAGCTTATGTCAGCATGCACATCTAGTAACACTTTAGCCAACATCTACATGCAGCAAATTTACTCAACTTCTTCATTTGAAAGAAAACTGTAAAGTTTTTTTTGCCTTTTGGCTCTATCTAGTAAAAAAATATAACAGGTTACGAGTTTGAAAAATCGAAAGATAAAGTATATGTCGAAATAAAAATATCCGTATTTACACCAGTGCATTTATTTAACCTTGTTTTTAAAACTTTTGTTCTTTAGCAAATAGACTTTAAGACAGTGTATGTCTTAAAATTGCACTTGTTTTATAAAGTGCCTTGAGATCACATTTGTTGTGAATTGGCGCTACATACCGGTAAATAAACTGCTAGATGGTGTGTAATAACAGGAAGAAAATTAAGATTTCCTGTTATGTGAAGACAACCCACAGATTCTAGTTTTACTTGTAAGCACCTTATTTAAAAATAAATCAATCTGAAGCCAGTCGTCTTTGCTGTCTGTCTTCAAAGCAAGCTAAAAATATGTTTCAAACACAGCAACTATTCTCAAATTTTGTCTCACGCCACACATCAAAACTCAAACTATCTCCTAATATTGCAGCTGAACACCTCATCCTTTCTTACCTGCTTTCATTTTGACAGCCATCTTCATTTTGAGGAGCGGGTTGCAGCCAACTTCTGAAGCAGCTGCAAAATCGCAACATCTCTCCAGGTCCCTAGTTTTGATCTGATGATCTAACTCTGATCTCTGACTTGGCTCCAACTTTCACCTACAAGTACCTTTAACATCTGCTACAAGGGTACTTTGAAGACTGTACATACAGAATGTAGGTGGACTGAACAGTTTCTCACTTCTCACTCTCAACTTTCATGACTGGGGAACTTGAATTCTCTTTTCCATTTAAAACAAAACAACAGATGCAGCCAGCAACCGAAACAAAGTGTGTTCCAGAAATACAATTCATGCAAACACAAACAAAGCATCAACCGCTCCAGCTGCACCCGAAAAGTATTTTTTGTAATAAGAAACAAAATAAAAAATATCTTTTTATCATCCCACTTTTGGGAAATTCAGATGTACCAGCAGCAAGTTACAGGTAAACAGAAGAAGAGAAAAAAGAAAAAAAAACGCAATAAGACAGCATAACACTGTACATTTAAGAAAAATAACATATTCAGACATAAAGAAATGTACAACTGAGTAGGGCATTTTAAAAAAGAAATAAATTTGAATGTGTGTATATTTGTGCATAGAAAGTATCAACCGACCAATTTACTAGAAGTGAAAAAAAAGTGTGCAAATATCAACGGGATGTGCAAATAACAGCAAGAATGTTCTTTGAAAAGAGGAACTATGCAAATCCAGGCAGAGGAAGAGAAGTTCCCTGATTTCTCTGCTTTTTCTCACTCTACATTCCCTCCCTTGCAATGAAAAAGCAGCTAAATTATTTAGTTTTAAAACCAAATGTTGAAGTTTGCAGCTCCCGAATCCCCCACAAAATGTTTATTTATTTCCATTTATGAACAAAAAGTGTCTGGGCCATTTCAAGGATTTTATCATGCATTAAACTCTATGTTCATTGCAAAATTTAGCTCACAAATTTAAACTTTAACTTGTACAAACCAGCTTAGCAGTCTGATGGAAACATCGCGTCCTGCTGGTGAACGGAGGACAAGACTATTTATTGCTATAGCCCCGAGGCTTTAACCATAATTATGTAACAGAATGAAAATATTTTTCCTATGATTCACAAAAAAAATGTTTGTATTTTTCCAGATACAAATCTGATCACATTTGACAGAAACTTTGCATATACCTCCAACATTTCTACTGGGAAGGTTGATAAACATAGTTGATAAATGTAGTGGTATCTACATTTATTAGCTTTCCACAGAAGGGCTTAAAACAACTCAATCATTTACTGCAGCAACATGATCTCCCACTTTTCAGAAAAAAACTCTAATTACCTCAAACCTTTAATGTAAGTAGATTCATTTAGTAAGCAGAAACAATCCCACATTAAAAAATAATTTTCAAACATGAGTACTCTTGTAAACTGTTGCTACTACTTAGTTATCAATGTGAAATACATGTAATAGAAGCATTTTTTAAATTATTCTTTACTTTTTAAGTTGATAAGAACATCTATGAACTTCTAATCAATAATCCATGACTTTGTTTCCCCGGGGATCTAAACGTTTTTTTTTTTATTTCTTTATTTTTCAAGGTTTTTTTCAATGTCTCAATAGCGGTGCCACATCCGTCACCATAATGTGTTCAACAAGAAGGTCCATCGCATCTCTTTAATGTAAATATCAGGATGATATCTTACCTTTGTAATTCAACAATCTCGTTGCTGAGGGTGTCAAGTTCCTTAATGGCAGAGAAGTCAGCTGCCAGGTTTGCATTGTTCTGAAAAACATAAACACCATCACAACAAGTGCATAGGTTTACCTACAGACAGTAAGTAAGGAAAGACTTTTTAAACCCAGGAAGAACAACCACTTTATGGATGGAAGAAGATGGGACACAAAAAAAATTTTGAAGTTAAGAAACAGCAACACGATGCAAAGATGGAAAGAACTATATGAATATTTGATGACAAAAACTCGTAAGAAACTTTTGAAGTTACAAATAAACTTTGGTTCACAGAACAATGATGTGAGAGCACTTGAGGGGGGAGGAAAATATCCTACAAAGCTCATATTTAACTTTGTCCATGGTTATTGGATGTTTTCATCCATTTTTCTTGGCTTTATGTGTTCACTAGTAATCTGCATCCAAACAGTTATTTGGGCAAAATACTTGGTAAAAAGAAGAAGAAATGTTTTCTGTTTGGGCATTTATTACGGTTTTTCATAGTGGTATAAAAAGTTCATTTGAAAAATAAATTTCTGTAAATCAATCAAAAGCCCTCTGTATTTATTTCTAACAGTACTAACAGACTTGAGTGAACTTGTGGGCCTCACCTGCTTGCTGTTTTGTCTGTCAGACGGAGGGATCATTTCCGGGGAGAGAGTCTGTGGTGGGTCCAGGCCTTTCGTCAGCTTCAGATTGATCAGATAAAGCGCCAAGGCAAACTGTTCACGAGTCAGCTTTCCCATGTCTCCAATGTCACAAAGCTCCCTGGGAGCAAGAACACACGAGTTACGTAAGAGGCCAATGATTTCCGCCTCAGGCAATAACTACTTTTAATGATCCAACAGATCCATCATGTTCTGCCATTATGGAAACGGCAGGATGGATGGTCACCAGCCATGTGAGGGTGAAAATCAATGATGTCACTGGTTTTATGTAAAAAAAAAAAATGTGCCACCAGGATGTAGTAGCCCTGTAAAGATCCTTTGTAGGGTAAAACTACACCTAAAACAATGTTAATGAATTAGATTAATAACTTTTTGTACAGTGATTAAACAAATTTTCTTCTATTTTAATCTAATTATCAAAAACAGTGCATTTCTATTTCCATAATGGAAAGAAATGAACAAATCAGTGGATAGAAATTGGCTGAAATCTCGTCTGAACACAACTGTGTTGTTAGCATCTCTGCTTACCAGATTCGTGCGAGCGTGGCAGACGGCAGCCCAGTTTTGAGAAAAATATCTCTGACTTCTGCTCCAGACACCAAGCCGTCCATGTCGCCATCCGTCTTGCTGAACAGTTCATCATACTTGGCTTTCTCTGCCGCCGATACAACCCACTGTGGAGGCAACAAAAACCTCACTTTTTGCTCCAGAAAGAAAAACACACCACAGACGAATGACCGTGCGACCACTGTACATCAAGCCAACAAATACTCACTCACCTTCCCATTCTTTTTACTCTTCTTCTTTTGAAAAACACATTGAGCGAGCCAGTTTGAGATCATTTTAATTGAGTTGCTCAAGGTCTTTTTTGTGTTAGTGAAAAATCAAAAGCAGGTACTGCGTGCACAGGAGATACGGAGGCTGTACTCACAGGGGCTGCTGCTGGTGTTGGGGCAGGAGCTGGCGCGGGTTTGGGAGGGTGGGGAAGGGTCTTCGAGCCGGTGTGGGAGGAGCGACTGTCTTTCACAGAGGGAGGTGAGGGTAACAGGGGCATCACGGGTGCAGCCGCAGGTTTTTTCCTCTTAGAGGGTGGAACTAAAGGAGGAGGTAGGGACATGGGAACCGACTCTCCTTCTAGTGCTCTATAAACCAGAAACATTGCCTGAGAAAGAGTAGCAAAGAAAACAAAAAAAAGCCATCAGAAACGATAATTATCTAGCAGTGATTCAATCTTTAAATTTCTTCCATGCACATTGATTTTGTTCCACTCAGCTATACAACCTGCAAACTGATGTTCATAGACATTAACAGAACAATTTGCAAAGAAACAATGTCAGAAATTCTATTTTCTAGCTGTCTAGAAAATATAAGACATTTGATTGGAGTGAAATGTGGTCCTGCAAAACAGTGATTTGGAGGATATAAATAATTTAGAGAAGTCTGTCATAACATGACTAATGCAAAAATAAATAAAGACTCAAGGTATAAATACAGTTTTGCAAGTCAGTGTTTCAGTTCTGGTGTAAGTGTTTTTATCATTATTTCTACTATCTTTATTATTAGTCTTACCACAGAAAATTCATCTCTATCCAACATGCCATCTCTATCCAGGTCACTGAGCTCCCACACCTTCAACACACAAAGACAACATTACTAAGCTTTAAAAAAATTTATGATACATGCTAACTTACCAATGAAACCACTGACTCATCTCTGGTTCTTAAATCAACATTGCTGACATTACCAACTATATTATACCAACTATAACTATATTACTATATACTGATGTGTTAGTCCATTTGAAAACATTTACCGTATTTTCCGGACTACAGGCTGCACTCACAAAGTTTTTAGTTTTTTTTAAACTCGAAACGTACATATGTAAGTTGCACTGGGCTATAAGCCGCTGGTATCTCCGCCGCTCTCGGTTTACCAACTTAACAAATCTACTATTAAGGATGCAGCCCTGTGTCTCCAACGCCGAACCATGGATTCGTTCACGCAGCGGCTATCGATACCAGATCAGTAGCCCTCAATTTAAAAGCTGCATCATATGAATGTCTGTGTCGTTTCCATGATGAGGGCGTATAAGTTTGAAAACATTTCTCTGACATGCCTGCTGCTAGCATGTGCTTGTTATAAATGAAAATCAGCACTTTCTTCTTTGATTTCCAATTTTGACTTCCAATGATTCACTTCCTGCTTAAAAGAAGTGAATGAAGAAAAATCCATGCGGGCTACAAGCTGCAGGGTTCAAAGCGAAGGAAAAAAGCAGCAGTTTATAATTCGAAAAATACAGAATTACAGATTTTAATTAATAGTTTTGACAATTTAGCATTAAATAATAGCAGACAATTTGTGCATCATATATTGACATCTTTTACTTGAAGTAAAAAATGTACACTCGATTAAAAAAAACTGATGAAGGAAAGCATTTAACCTTGACCATGCCTTCTTTTCCAGAGGTTTCAGTCTTTCATGAAGAAAATATGACAAGAACAAGTTCATGAAGAAAGAAAACAGAACTACTGAAACTTCATCTGTACTGCCTATGATTGTAAAGTAAAACAAGGAGGAAATTCAGTTAAAGTTTTATCTATAATTGGAAAAAATAAGTACTGGAATTCCTTTGTATTTTCAAAACCAGAGCAGAAACTATTCAATGTTTCCAAACAAACAAGAAAACTACAGTGCCTTTTCAGAAATAAGAAAATAAAACTTTAAAAGTTTTAAACTGGTTGTTACCCTGCCCAGGATGTCCACAGGCAGCTTGGAGTTGAGCAGAACCGGTTTAACCTTGTCTCCTGACAGCATCCCTCCAACTGGACCTAAACTCTCAAAAATGGCGTCAAACTTCATCTTCTCCTCTGGCTAGAGAATAATAAAAAAACAGAAGCTCAATGATTTCATCATAAAAACTCATAATTATGCACTATTTACATAAGAATTAATGACTGGAATTAAACAGGAAATAATGTTTCTGCTACTCACAGAAACTTCAAACAATTAAAACTGACCTTGAAAAAAAGTATTACCATACCTGCTTTTTTTATTTTACATATTCTCACAATAAAAGATTACAAACCTCTCAAAATAAAAACAAATAAATCCCACAGAAAACCTCCGTACCTTAACAACCCAGGGAGCATCAGCAGCCACTCCTCTTGCCAACTGCGGGCTGCTTGTATCATGCTGCAGATGTAGAAAAGCAATGCATGTTAATATTCAACATTTGTGTTAATGCTATAAAAAATTTTTTACACTGAATTATAATTCAAAGCAGCAAACTTACAAATTTGGGCAGAGGAACAGCCACATTAAGACTCTTAAGCGCCACCTCCAGGCCATTCTGAGCACAAGCAACCAACCGCAATGCTATGAAGAATTGCTAAGGGGAGAAGAGGCAGAGTCATGTAAACCCTGAAGGATGCCATACTAAACCACACCATAAAACATAAAAATAAACTTTGTCATTTCTTTAGATTTGCTACTTGTTAAATATACCTCTAACCAAAATCTTGATACCATGTTTGATTCTCTAAATATGCAAATTTGTCTCATAACAGGGGAGGATGCAGAACTTTGAGGATTTTTTTTTTAACCCTTCTCAGTCAGCCTGGTCAGATTAATTGCATTCACGTTTTTTTCCCGTAACCTCCAGATTTAAAAATGACAGACTGTTGTGACAAGTCTTGCCTGCAGAGCCTAACAAATACCAGAGACATCTCTGTGAATATCAGACACAAAATAAAATGAAAGTCAGATCCAAGCACAGACTTTTGATCAGTTGTTTAAAATTTTGAGTTGAAAGCAGTTTTAAAAACTTTATTTGCTGTCTTGCTCCTTTTCCTCCTTAGTATTTTAAAGCCCTTCGTACAGAAGTGTGAATATCAGTACGTCTTCCCCTGATTTTACAATTTTTTTGGAGGAGCGTAACTTTGTCACACAACAAAAACTGCAATCATCTGGCATCAAAGTCTTTTAAAAATGTTTGACTTACTGAATGCAATTAAACTAGTTTTGTTGTGAATCTTCAACACATCCAAGACTTTTGTCACCACCAAAATCCTATTCTTGTATTATTCATTTCATTCAGCATAAATTGCAATGATAATTAATGTAATTAAACAGCTGTTAAGTCATTTGATGATTAAAAGTGTTTTGAGCAGGTTTGATGTTATTTAAATGGCTCATGAAATACAGTATATTGTACAATAATTCAGTGGTAATTAAATGGTTAATTTATTCGCTAAATTACATGTAAGACTAAATTGCTAAAATTACTGACGTTTTCTGTGAAAACTCAAATCACAAAACAAAATAATCAAACAAAAAAAAAAAAGAGGTGGAAAGAAATTCACAAACACACCTAAAGGGGGCAGAAGAGGTTTCCATGCAACTCTACTGTGTTTTTACCTGTTTGTTAAGGAAACCTTTTCTTTCAATGTCTGCCAAATCCCAAATCTACGGAGACATGAAGAGATTTCAGATTCATTTTAAACGTAAAAACCAAGTCAGATGTGATGTTTCTGATCCATTTTCAGCCTTCACTCACCTTCCCCAGAACCATGTCAGCCAAACCCGACTGCTTCAGGAAAAGAGCTGCATCTGCTGCCACCACCCGCCCGCTCCCTGTGGGATCCACCTGAAAAACACATGAGCATGCTCACAAACAGGAACAGCAATAAGCAAGATATAAGTAGAAATGTGGTAATTTACCTAAGAGTTATATCATTTTATGATATAAACAGAATCAGAAGAATCCTTTTGCATAAAGAGAGGGTGAAATAATGAAGCATTAAACTGGGAGAGTCACTCTTTGGAAGAAAGGAGCCTTTGACTCACTAAAATCAATACTGATAATAAAATAAAGCTTTTTTTTTTTTCAGAAGTCTATTAGCTTAGTAGTTTTTTATAGAGCCCAGGGGAAGATTCCCTCCCTAGTTGGCAAAGAGAAACATTAATAATTCATAAAGATACTTCCTTTGTTGAACACAACAAAGGAAGGTAGACCAGAGATCAGAGCTGACTACAACACTTTATCAGAGCAACTAGACAGAGTTCAGAGTTTAAACAGTAACACACTCTTAGAAATTTATTTCTCCATTTTCAGGAATGTATTACAACATCATTCTGGGTGTTTGTAGTAAAAAAACATCTCCATTAGCATTGGCATAAAAACTGTTTATACCATAATACAACTAAAAAAATACAAGGAAAAAAAAATGTAAAAAATATTGATACAATAAAACAATACAAGGTGTTGTTTACGGAAAAATATTACCTGTCGATAATATTTGTCATAGATGGGATTTCCACTGGAAAGCTGTTAAAAAGAAAAAAAATGAATCAATTATTTATATTTATTCTGGTGGGTTTAGATACATTAGGATAACCTCAAAAAGTTAATCAAGGTCAGTAAGAAAAATTTTAATCTGAAACCCATATTTATATTTATTAAACAGGTATATTTATGGAGTAATCAGACTATTTATTTAGTTCAAAACAAAATTGCCATCCATCAGACTGCACAGCAAAGCCATGAAATGTAAGACATATACTCAACAGATTAAAAGCCACACAACACACAAAATAATTATGCGAATAATATGAGTCTAAAAACCATTTAAAAACCTAAATCCTCCTTTTGCTTCAGCTTCATATCTGAAATCTCAAGATTAGCAAGCGTACGTTCAAGTTGATTTTAAAGATTATGGCTTACAGCGAATGAAAACCCCAAATTCAGTAGATAAAAAGGATATTACATAAGATCAACGCCTTCCTTCTAAAAAGCAGATCTATGTTCTGTTCACTGATTCCGTTTGCATGAAGTACTGCATCATGCATGGAGGGGCAGCAGCTCTGCTGAGATATGGAGGAATCCCACGCTGCGTCAGTGGCATCCTTTTCCCTTGTCGGGATTGTTGAGCCTGCTGACTCATCTTCCTCTTGACAATACCCTATAGTTTTCTTTATGGGGTTTAGGTGAGGGAGGTTTTCTGGTCAGTGAAATACAGCGATACCATGGTCACAAAAGCAGCCACTGGTACAGAGTGGGCAGTCGCCAAGCCCTACTGGGAAATGACATCAGCATGGTGGAAAACTTTGGACTGAGAAAACATATTGGACCAACACAAGCCGATTACGCAGCTCCACAAATCACTACTGTTTGTGGAACATTTACACTACAACTCGGCCAAATTCTGGGAATTTTATTTCCAAATAAAATGAAAAAATCTAATTCAGTCTAAAAATAGGACTTCAGATCAATGAGCATTTTCTCCTAACCAGGTAAGCAGCTGTCTGGTTCAAAAGGCGCGTCACCAAAGTCGTAGTCTGTGCCATGGACACGCCTGACTGTGGTGCCTCTTAAAGCGCCAACAATGCATCTCCCTGCTTGTGAATCTCCATCAGACTCTATAAAGGGTGTTGGCTCATAATCCTTAAAAGGTGCAGTTTTACCAAGCCTACTCAACCCGGCTCAATTCTCATTTTTCATCATGGCTCCGTCAGGAATTTCTCCCATTTAACTCAATTTCCCAATTTCCAGTGAGCTTCATAGCGTCAAACTTGCAAACTAAATGTCAGCAATTGGGTAAAATTTAAAACTTTAACAGAGTCCATGCCTCCAGCAAGCAACCGTTTCTCAGTAGCAGACGGTCCAGATCTTCTGTACGAAGCAAAGCACAGAACAAGGGGCTGGTTTTTACAGGGTTAAGTTTCAACTGCTGCTTGTGCACCTTTTTCTGTTTAAACAAAACTTATTTTTCCTTCACTCAACTTTGAATTAATCCACTTGAATAAAGCACTTCATAGGCTTAACCTTCCTGTGGAAGGTGTCACAGGAAGTAGCCTTCCCTATACTAAAGCTAGCCATAGCAGGGAATAGAGAAAACATTTCTACATTAAAATCCTTTTCAATTTGTCTCATGTAAATTTTAGAGAGTGGATTTCTGGTTTTGATAACACAGAAGCAGCAGTGGTAGTAAACCAGTTTAACATAAGTATTACTCTATGATTTCAATCACTAAGACCAAACCTAACTTCTGAATATTAAAATTAACTGTGATGCTTTTGTAAGAAAAGGCTTTGCAAAACTTAGTTACTTCCCTCTCCTGAATTTTACCACATAATTTGTTTAACTCAAGCAACCAACAAGTACCAGAAACAGAAATAAGAATAAAAACACTCCTGGATATTAAGAAGGAAATGTATAGATTAAAAAACGACATTAAAATATCTTGTTGAAAATATCCAAACATACAGCAGTCACCCATAAATATTTTAAAACTGCTGAGGCAAAAGAAAAAAAAAAAGCAACAATCCTTATTCGACCTGGTAATTATGAAAAATTCATAATTTAATAGTATTTTACGCAGCGACTCCAGAGAGAACTGTTTAAATCAGGTTCTTCTCAAGGCATTCAACTCAAACTCTTCCAGAATTGTGAGTCACAAGAATTAAAAAGACCAACAAAATTAGGAAAAATGCTTTTCAAACACAGACGATCGAACAGCTGCATCTACCCTTAATACAAGGATTTGGCAATAATGTAACAAGGAAGCAATGTGTCACATAGCCACATTTTAAAGGAACAGGCGACTCTTTTCAGCATTTATGCATTTTTTTTAACATCCTGATTTTTGGGAATCAGCTGTTCTTTTTGGCCAATTAGCTGTTTTTCTTACTCGACAGAAGTTAATTCTGTCCCTCTCTACATATAGATATATGTGTACATTATGTAGAAAATGGCTTTAGATACTTGACACCATTTACTGTTGTATGGTGCAGACTGATAACATTCAGAGAGGCCGAACAGATCTACTGCATTTTGCTTAACTGCGATGTTGATGACTTTGATTGGTCTAGAAAGAGCTCTTCAGAGCTTCCCAAAGCGCTAGATGCTTGCATTAAGAGCAGCATCTTATTTGTCTTTCCCTCAAAACCTCTGTAAAAACCCTTCTTTCCTCTGACCGGTTCATTGCTTCACAAGAAACAAATCAGCGTTTCCTCTTTCTTTTAGCTCATCGAGAGCTTCAGTTCACAGGTGCAGGGACGAAGGAAAGCAGAAGTGAACAAAATGAGTCGCCTCCATTCGGCTCGCCAACACTGTAAGGCCAACAACCACTGTGCAAATTTAGCCTCCACTGTACAACTAAAGAAGGACGACGGCAGATATCTGCTCGGGTGTCAATCTTGTAACAGATCCTGGCACAATGAGAGACGTGGAGGGGGTGGCGGGGCCCTGAAGTCTGTCATCAGCATTTATCTGTCAGCTTTTTCCAACTGCCTCTGAGATAACTGTTGACACACACATATATCTATCTATCTCTCTCACACTAATGCAACTTCTTCTATGGGACGCACAAAATCGTGTGCCAGGAACAGTTGACGGCTGTAACACAGTGATCATTGTACTGGTGACTCTTTAAATCAGAGCTGAAAGAAGAAAACGCCTCAATTATCAGAGTCTCTGCAAGTTTTATAAAGTTAAATTTCAGACTTTATAAGACCGACTTGAATGAGGGAGAATAATAGCCTAATAATTTAATCAAACACACATGTAATAGTGCTTTTACGAATGTATGCTGTTACCTATTGAACATCTGTAAGCTCAAGACAATTTACTGACAACAGATTTTAGCCACCTAGAGAAAATGCATAATTTGTTCCATCACAAAGGAGCCAATAGCAAATAATGGTCAATTTATTTGCCTAAACACATAATAAGACATTTTGAAAAGTAATATAGTTTTTCAGGTTTGCAAAGAAAACTGTATGTACAGCTTACAGCGTATATTGCAGCCCTCCGACTGTAAAAACACCCATATAAGTTGTTTGTTTCAGATCTTTTAAGGCTTTGTAGAAACCCTGATTACTGTATAACTTAGATGGAGTAAAATTTTAACATAGCAAAATGCCTCTGTGGTCCATTAGTCTGCTGAAGACTCAAAACATAAAATGACAGACATGGCTGGGATAGAAAAGCAAAACAAAAAATTGATTCATGTTGATGACCCCTTCATTGTCCTTGGGCTTTAGCATCTTGATCACTAGGATCTATATAATGGAGGCACAAAAAGCAGTGAAAGTCCATTCAACTGTTCATATATTATACACAAGTATAAATCGAAGGCAAGGTACCTGAAACACCATAAGCCTGACAAATGTTGCTTGTGAGCACATCTTTGCTATTATGATGTTGCTCATTAAAGATGTTGACTACAATTCACCATATTGTTCAGCTCCAATTTTAAAACCAACAGTAAACAGAGGGTCATTTTCAGAGTATTAAGCCAAACAATAAGCTAACACTGCCAAAACACCTATTTGTTGTTGCATCCAACAGGGGCTCAGGTGACGAGCCTGGGACTGCAACCTACTGATCAGACCTCTAAACAAACAAACATGACACAAATGTGTAGTTCTTCATTTAACAAGCAACAGGCTGGCCGTTTTGCCTCAGCAGGGAAGGCTAGTAGCTGCTATGGTTCACTTCCTCTTATGTTTGCAAAGCAGCTCTTAACATTAAACAGTCATATACATTTTGCCATACTGCTACACCATGGATACAAAATGACCTAACGGGCTAACAGTTAACAGTATCCCAGTGGAAAAAGGTCAAAAGGAAAACACTAATTCAATCTCCCTGTAGCATGTTTACTTCTAATAATAACCGTCTTCAGGCTGGAGATTCAGCCGAACCAAACGGGACACCACACGAACACCGAGGCAGTCCTAAACACCGGGTACAAAACGTAAAAACTGACATCTGATCAGCAGAAATGTGACAGTAAAGCGACAATACAGACTTGAGCCACAGATGGGTATCACGTATTACCATCACTTTGGCAACGACCGACGAGCCTGCAGCAGAAATTATGTCAAATAGCGACAAACGAAACGAAGCCAAGTGACGTTAGCTACACGACGAGTGTGCAGTTTGACAAAGAAGCGTCAGAAAAGCCTAACACTGACACAAAACTAGCTGTTAGCTCAGAGGCTAGCTGGCTAGCTACGCCCTTACGCAGTCCCCGAAGAGATTAGGCAGAAACTTTTCCCAGTCACAGCAGGACTAAACTTCAAAAGCGGCCACCACGGTCGATGAGGACTCACGTTTCCACCCGCCCTGTCTAAATAACGCCTCCGAGGCGTTTTCAAGAGAAACAAACACAAGCCGGCGACGTTTGCTGTCGATATATTTGAGTTGTACAGACAGTGTTACCTGAGTAAGAGACAGAGTGGCAGCCATAGTGTTTCTGTTTCCCACTGCTTTCATGCTGCGATACCTCCAGACACCAATAGGGGGCGCTGAAAACCTGGAGCAGGACACAAACACGAGGGAATGATGGGAAATCTTTTTAATTTTATATTTAAACGCAAGTTGTATTTAAATAACAAACGGGCCCTCTCCGGGTCAGTAAGGCTTACTCATTTGTGAGATGATACGCATCAAGATTATACACCCCTAAAGGGTCCTTGCAGAAATATGAGAAAGTATGAACTACCTATATAGAATATTTCAAGAGTTAACAGATTCCTTTAAATTGGGATTAAGAATGTAAGAGTAGCTATACTTTATGATAATTTAACTCACGTAAAAGTTAAAAGTACAGCAACCCCAATTGTAGCAATAAATATAAATAATAACTGCCTGCAACTACAGGATACCTTCAGTATTAATATTATCTAAAATATATCTTAGTATGTGCAATAGGAACATTTGTCATGGATATTCTTGATTGTTTTTTCTTTTGCAAATTTATGTTAAAACCAGTTTATCAAAATGCAAAACAGAGCCAAGGACTCCCTCTACTGTGCTTCAGCTGAATAGAATAAAACTCATATTTTATTTTATCAAATCAATTTTGTTTCCCATAAAGGAAATGAGCTCTTATGCCACTTCATAATTAATAATCACTAGCATTTTTGTTGTGGATTACTAATCCAAATGATACATTTTTATAAATGTATGAGAAATATTTAAAACAGTTGTCAGGCATGCAGTCAAGTCTTCATTTCTGTAAATGCAGTCAGATTAGAGGTCGGATTCCTAAATATTTATTCGATGTGAGGCTATGGTGCTGCAACTGAGTTTAAAACTTACCAGGGAAAATGGAAGAATGGAAATAAGCTCCGTCGTTGTGACCCATCAGTTAAGCTTTCTCAAAAACACATATTTATGATTTTATAAAGAGAAAAAACAGACACTTGTCACAGTTGAAAGCTGCAAAACCTTAAGTAATCATTATGCCATAACAGCAAGAAAAGATTACGAAATGCAAATGTGACATTTAAAGATAAATACATATTTGATTTCTTCAGATTGTTTTATTTGCACAGCAACATAAAATGTGCCCCCCACTTCATTTCTGACCATTAGTACAAAATGTGTTTTACAAAAGGAGCATTGTTGGAGCTTGGTGTATGGAACAATGTGTCGGGGTACAGCAGTGCAGATGTACTGAAATCAGACAGGAGGAAACTCGTTAAATCATCCTGGGTACCAGATGATTCACTGCTACAGGAAAGGACCTAATGTACAATTATGATATTATATTATTATGATAAACAAGACTACTGAAGGTGAACCAAAGTGGAAGAGTTGGTTAGAAAGAGAACTATAGAAGGGGTATCATTCTAAAGTAGCCTATTTAAACAGCTGCAGACAGAAGGATGATTTTTGCAGAGTGTAAAATACAAAGTCTTAGTCCTGGTGGTGGTTCCCATTAAACCTTGTTTTAATTTAATGTTAAAGCAGGACAAATTACCTGCATTAAGATGCAGAACTCAATCCAATCCTTCCAGACTGACATGAATTAGTGTAAAACATGTACAAAAAACCCAAATAACACACAAACCACATGAGGTAAACAAAACATTGTCATGGCACCATCCATACAACAAATATATTTTCCTGTCAAAGCTTCACATAAACCTAGATTTTCATTAAACAAATGACAGTTTATATAGTTCTGCAGAGAACAACTTGCAGCTTTATAATTACTAATCTCGACATTCGTTCCAGCGTTCTATTATTCCAATTTATATAACAATAATCATGTTAATAGTAGCAGTAGTGGCTCATGGAAACAGGAAACACAACAGTAATTGCCCTTATTGACCTATCCCTTTTGTTTTGTAAACAAACAAATTAAAAAGTCCGTCCCACCCAGATCCACCCCGAGGTGACGCTCATCAGGGTCTTTCATTTCAGTCTCTGTTCAACAGCCCACAGACTCAAACAGAGCCGTTCCTGAGTTTATAACTCATCCTTGAGTTGAGAGTCTGTGCCTTCATCTTCTTCCTCTTCCTCCTCTTCTTCTGGTTCCTCTCCCTCTTCCTCCTCTTCTTCCTCCTCCTCGTCCTTTTCTTCTTCCTCCTCGTCTTCCTTCACCTCGTCCTTCCTCTTCTTGTCCTCTTCCTCTCGCTTCTTCCTCTCTTCCTCCTCTTGGCTTTCCTTCATCTTTCTCTCATTATCCTGGAAATGGAGACAACATACAATTAAAAAAATAATAATTCAACACTGATGAAGTCAGACTCAAAGAGTCTTTGCAAATAGACAGAACTGGGAACATACCTTCGTTTTTCCCCAGGTTTCGTTTCCAACTTCCTCGGCCACTTTGGGATCGTTGGTGATTAGGAAGTTGTCAAAGATGGTCCCAGACTTGACCTTTACAAAAAAATAAGTCAGTCAGTCCAGATTGAGTATAAATATTTTATTAACAAAGATCCGGAGTATTTCTTGCTCCCAGCGCAGGACACCTCAAGAAACTTAGATAACAGCTTCTAAGTAAATGAGCAAGTTATTTTTGCTCATTTTCACTGTATAGATTTGATTTATTTATTTGAGTATCATGCACCACAGTATGGTGCTCAGCCTACAAGGCATGTCAAGAAGGCCCCCAAACAAGCTTCCCAAACTTTGCAAATATTTACAAAAAATGAAATTCCATAACCACAGGGATGTACTTTTGAGGATACAAAACTCTGTCTTGGTTGCCAAGCTTGTTCAATAAATGATGCTAACGCAAAGATCTCTTTATTAAATAGCCAACTTAGCATATGTGGTTCAGACAGCCAAAACAGATTAGTTATAAATAAATGTATTGATTATGTTTTGTATAAAATATTTAAGTGTCCAGAGTTTGAATAAGGAAACTGCAAAAACCAGACACTGGTTTGGAAGGACAGAGGGACTGATAAGATTTTTGCATTTAATCAACTGATTGCATAATAAATTAAAATGAACTCAATTTCTATTATGATGATTTTTATGTTTACAGAAGCTTCACAATGCATTCTATTTTTGGTTGCAGAGGTTTTCATTTCCTTTTCATTCATCGTTTTTGTTTTATTTTGGACATTTAAAAAGTCGTCCAGAGTTGAGTGTTCTTTACAAAGGTAAAGTTTACTAGTTTTGAGAGAGTAAATTTCATTATTATGCCATTTGCCCCCTAAGTTGGATATTTAGGGGGAATAAGTAAAAGTCCGAAAAGGCAGGTGGTTCGATCAGTGAGTTAATTAATGGACAAATTAAGTTATCTGGTGATTGATGATGCACGGAGAATAAAGTTAATATTTAAAAATATTCTATGCTCTATTTGCTTGTAAGTCATTATTCAGACATGCTAAAATACTTCAATCCAGTTCTATATCTTTCCTTACAGTCTATGTAGGAACCTTGAGAATTTTTCTAATTTAGCTGCTGTATTTATCGTTGACTGAACACCATCAGCAAGACCATCCCACCTGCCACAGGTCCAGTCCAATCACGCCGATGCTGTCATATTTGTAGATCTCCGGGTCAGCTGTGTACTCTGGATTGTCGATCTCAGGGTGAACCCACTTGCCTCTGTAAGCAGGGTTATCGATCTCTCGGGGTTTCCACTCGCCCTGCATGTGCAAAAAACATATTAAGGCTCATGTAAAAAGACAGAAAAAAATAATAATCCTGGTCCAATGTAAGTGAAAGAGTTTTGTTTGACAGGAATATTTATAACAGCAGGAGGAAAATCTGTAAGAATACCTTGTAGTCAGGGTTGGTAATCATAGGCGGCTCCCACTCCCCATCCATCTCATCATCCCAGTCGTCAGGCTTTTTGGCGTCGGGATCTGGGATGTTCTCAGGTTTGTCCCAGTCCTTAAAAAAATGAAGACAGGTTAAAACAAGAGAAAATAAAGCATTCACAAAGTTTTTCCACTATTACAGCAGACTAACCTCAGGTTTCTTGTCAACGGGGTCTGGAATCTTCTCCCTGTCATCCCAGTCCTCTGGCTTTTTGGCGTTGGGGTCCTTGATTTTTTTGGGGGGCAGAAAGTCCCAGTCATCCTCCAGGTTGCCAGACTCGACCTTCTTGTTGTCAATCTTAACCTCGTAGGTGTTGTCAGGGTTGACGATCAGCGTGTACAAGTGGGTGTACTCATCATCCTGCAAAGGACAGCGAGATGTTAGAAACGGGAAGGAGGAGCTGAAGTTTTAAAAATTATCTCCTTCATTGTTAGGTCAACTAGTCAGAAATAAACTGGATTACGCTGTTTCCTTATTCAGTTAGCAAAAAACCCAAAACCTATGCCATACCTTGCACCTGATATCTTTGTTGATCAAGTGGTTTTTGCCTTTGTAGTTGAAGATCACATGAACTTTCTTTGTGCCTGGGCCACAAATATCAGGACCTGAAGGAGGCATGAGAAAAATATAGTAACTTGCAAAAGCATTTTATCATAAGTAAATGTAAATGATTAAGGAAGCATAATCTGACAAAAACTCAGGGCCCTACCAAACATGATGTTGTAGACGGAGTCTCCATGCATGTCCTCCTGGTTGAGCTCAGAGGGGAACAGCTTGATGTATCCGCCGCCACAGTCGATGCTCTGCTCGTGTTTCACAGTGAACTGGATGACTAGAGGCTGGCCTTTGTTTCCGAAGTCATTGAAACGGGCTGACAAAGCATAAAAGCGGGCATCCTGGCTCGTCTGCAGACCTGCGGTAAAAACAGCGTCATCATGGCAAAGACCTCGGCTGAGGCAGAATTTCATAGGCCGATCCCGAGTTATTTAGAGCCACTTTCATGATGAGTAACAGAAAAACACTGACACTGCTTTATGAGCCGAGAATCATAAAGGCAGATTTTTAGGCAGAAATGTTTCCAGTGGCGTGCTGATCATCAAAAGCTGCCATCTGGGTAGGTCTTTTTAAATTAAAATTAAAAAGGAAATCTGAAATTTATTTAAAAAAAAAAAAAAACTTTAAACAGTGTTGGTTCTGAAATAGGCCCATGTGGTTTTCCG